CGGCCGGCTCGCCGGGGCCGGGAGGCTCTTGTCCGCCGGCGGGGAATGTTTTCGGGCGGAGATGAAATCGAAACTCCCGCCTTCCGCGCCTGCTGCGTGCCTGGCGAGTGGGGGGACAACGACGCGCAGCAGGGGATGAGTTACGGGGCGGCGGGAGGAGGGCGGTGTAATTTGCGCTGTTGTGTGGCCGCAGTGTTGCAACAGTAAGAAAACATAAAAGTTTTAACAGTCAAGTGAACTAAAACACAAAAACAATGCTTTTTTTTTTTTCTTTTGCGAGGTGTAAAAGTGTTGATACTCGGCATTAAAAATCTCTACTTTCTACTCAGAAAAGCAGGTGACGTAGGAGCAACTTCTGCCTAGCAAGAATATTTTATCCGAAAATTGTTTAAAAAATGGCTGAACTGAGCTAGGTAACAAGGGCAAAATAGGCAAGTTGGATAAATAGAGCTGCTGGTACTCCGGTTTGGTGAGAAGGAGGTCCTGCTAAACGCAGGTGCTTGCTTTGTTCTGGTCGTAGCATTTAGTCCCCCCAGTCATGGATCGAGGAACGGTGTATTAATTTTTGTGAGGCGAAGACGAGGCAAACCAGGTTGTACAAAACGTTAAGAGTTTATTATATTAATTGCTTATAATTTTGGTGGTTTCAGTTGCAGGAAGTATTTGGTATACGAGTGTATCTGAAGAGAACATAGGCACCGTGATGCAATACTTCGTGGCAAAACTGTTTAAAGTTGAATGGCAAACTTGACTTGGCATAAATAGTGTGATATTAAACCGTATGCTAATGTGTTTAATTGGCTTAATATTCATTTGCAAGTTTAATTTTGTAGTTCTGACACTTAGAGAAGCAGTTTTAGCGCCTGTTTCTGAGGTTGGTTTTGCTTTTGTTTTTAAGTACTACTGGAAAGACTGACATCAGGAAGTTTATGAGACACCCTGCTTTACTTTTACTACTGCAACTTATACAAAAGACAAAAATAAGCTTTGAACAAACAAAACTCTTTTAATCAGACCAAACTTTTAATCTTTATGACTATCAATTAACAATGGTTTTGTTTTTCTTTTTAATGATTCAGTTGTTATACAAGAAGACAACTCTAAAAAGGAGTGTGTAGTAGTTGGATGTTTTCCATTGGTTGACCCTTGGTGGAGAGTTAACATTAAAGCTGAAAAAAGGGGGTCGACGTACTTTATGCAAGGATATCCATCATACTTTCTGCGGACTGATATAGAAGAAAACAACCGACAAGTTTTTTCGCTCTTTCTTAAGGAATGTGCTGTTCCTGAGGATTTAAGCAAAAAGTTTTTTACTTGGCTTCCTAGGAGGTCTGTGCTGAGTTTTAGAAATCTTGAAGAAAAACTAAAACAGTTCCAAGTTTCACACTTACAGACAGGGAAGAATCAAGGAGACACCAGCGCTTATGACATCTTCTACCATGTTTCAAAATCATGTAGGTATATCCTGTGCTATTTTGGTTGTTTTATAAGCTAATGAGTTCTATCTCAGATACTGTGTTCAAGCCACCATGTCTTCATATGAAGTGTATATTCAAATGAATTTTGAATATGCAAAGATTCTTCTTTTTTTTTAAATTTGAGGACAGTGGGACAGTTGATCAATTAAAGATAGGCATACAGTTAGAAACACAGAAGGACTTTCCTGAATTCTGTAGGCTTACTGAGTAGATTGTCTGTGCTAGGGATGCAAAGACACTGGTGCTGGCTTCCTATAGTTTATTCAGATATAACAAGGCTTATTAAAAAATGGGTTTAGCACTGCTTAAACATGGTGGTTATGGCTTTTTAGGACAAATAGGTGTTCAGAAATAGTATAGCTGCTTCTTTGTAGTGCAGGGGAAGAGCAAATGAGCTCACCATAGTACAAATCAGCTGCACTAAACAAGCTATCTAAGTGTATTCGAATCCTGCCCATCAGCAGATTGGTGTAGCTGGGGAGCAGAGTGCGGAAACACTGGAGTGTCCCCACATGGAGATAGTTCAGGATTGCTGAGGATCCTGTTGTGGGCTATGTTGGTGTGACTACATGAGTGTCAGAGGTTGGATCCAGAGCGTGCTTTTGAAGCAAACATCCCTCTTGTCCTCATTGTGAGGCAGTCTCCAAGAGTATTGACTGTATTCCTCCTGGATGAAACCCAAAAGATGTGTCCCAGTTGCACACCTAAGGTACTCCAACCCCTAATGGGCATTCAGTCTGTTGGACCAGACTGCGGCTGGTCTGAAGCAAAACAGTGAAATACAGAAGTTCAAGATGTCCAAGATGTGTCTTCAGCACTAGCTCTCTTGTTTTGCTCTGATGACCTGCTTCCATTATACCATGTTCCTGATGTGGACACAGGCAGTCCTGGGTTGGTGCTGTGCAGAGCCATCTGTGGGCTGTGGGGACTCAGTGCTCTGAATCGGAGGAGGTCTTCTAAATTCTGCATAAATCTGTACAGACACTTTGAGTCTACCTACTGTTAGGTGCAAGCAAAGTCTTCTGGTACCTGGTTTACTGGGCAGTGTCAGGTCAAAAAATGGAGGTGACTATTTCGGAGGTCAAATCGTGTCTTAACAGGAGAGTTCAGAGCTTCTGCTAGACTTGAGCTGACTTTACTCCAGAGCACATGTATAAGGAGAAGAAAATTTTCACAATTTTATGGACTTGAGGCTTTTTTGTTTTGTTTTTGTGATGGTAGAAAAGTTCTTAACCCCTGTTTGTGGACTTTAAATCTTTTCATGACCACAGAGGGATGGGAATTGACAGTGGTAGCAACTCAGATCTCGTTCGCTGCGTGAGTTTTAATGGGATATATGGATCACTTTTGACTGAGGCTTGTCCAGTATGTTCATGAATCTTCAGGTGTGAAGATTGCACAGAGTGCCTAGGTATCCTGTTCACTGTTCTTCTAGTTGGTGGATTTTTCCTAATATCTAACTTAAATTACTTTACTACAAATTAAGTTTTCTTCTTTCTCTATCATTGGGCAATAGAAACAACAACCCACCTCCCTGGTGGGTCATATTGCTACTATTACTATTGACATTTTTTTCTGGTTGTCATTAATTGTTGTGGGCTCGAGCAGTTTGTTCTTCAGGCCTTCATGATATTTTTGTGTGGCAATAGTGTGTGTTGATTCTCCCTGTGTAAATTAAGTACTTGCTTTAAAGGGAAAAGGTTTTATCTTTGCCTTTCTGTAGGTAAGACAGTGATGAGAAAAAGTACTTAACTGAGAAAAACTGGTGTTTTATATTTGGAATTACAGAGTTTCCTTAACACTTAATTAAAAATTGCATCTATCTTTGTTTTTTTTCTGGCCAAGAGGTAAAACTTATAAAAGTCTCACTTTCTTCTGAAATTTGTTTTTTAAAGCAAGGTATACAGCAAATCAGTTTCATTTTCCCCCTTTTGCAGATCCCAGGACTGATACAAACAGGGAAAGTGGTAGGTTAAGTTTCTGGGGTCATTGAGAAAGCCAGTGGAGAGCACTGTTTTCTTAAGTTCCTCTACTGATCTGATACTACAGATTTAGAAACCTCTCTTCTTATTTTGGATTTTAAATGTTCTTCTGTACATCTGTCTGAAAATTATCTTTAGGTAAGAGGCAGGTGTGGTGAGGTCTGAACTGACTTTCTACAAAATGCTATTGAGTATGCAGTTCAAACCAAGTGCATAATACATATTTTCCAAATGAGTACATTTAGTTGCAGTTTTTATGTCATCTGTTTACATTATTTTTTCCCAAGGCAGTTCAGGGAAAACAGACTTTAAAAGAATTTGAAAAGGATTAAAAAGAATAAGAACCTGAAAGAAATTTGGAATGTTTTGGATGTAGGGGAGGCAGAAGGATAAAAGCCAGAGTCAGTTTAAATTGCCTTTGCAAATATCTTTGTATATTGCTTAAAACTTTCTTGGTTTATGGTGCGTACAGTTGCAGGGAAGGCGGTATTGGTAGCTCTGACTTTTCCGACGATACTGGAGTTCTTGCCGATTCTTCTGCCACATCATTTTTCCAGTCTGTTGGATATGGTGTGTTGGCAAAGAAAGACTGAAGAAAACAATGGTATGGATGGTGAGGAAGTACCTTTTCAAGACAAGATGCTAACAAAATTGGATGAGATACTAAAGAATGAGCCATGGAAACTTGGATTCAGCAGTGTAAGTAATGTTAAGCAGGGAAAAAAATGTGGTGTTTGTTACATTTGAGCTTCATTAGAATACAGTTCTGTTTCAGTTACTCTCAGTTTATTAACTGGGTATTTGTAGGAGGTAAGCTTAGTTCATTTGGAAATGGATTATGTACTGGACTTGGTTTTAGCAAAGGGTTTTTTTTTTCCAGTTGGTCTACAATGAATTCATCTCAGAAGATTGTAAAAGTGGTTTTGTTACAACCATTTGTTTAGTCTTTTCTACAGGCAACAAATAATTGAGGTAACTGGGCCAAAAGTAAGAAAGCTAATTTAAAACCCTCAGTTGTCCTGTTCAGTTTTATACCAGCAAATGAGATTTTCTGTTCTTAATACATAGAACAGTATCTATGCTTTCATAGTAAGATAGATAAGTTACTCTGTAAGAGGTCATCTGGTCTAGTGGTTCTCCTCTTTTGTAATGGGATTTGTGGTTGCTGCTTACCTTCCTGTTTTCCTTTGCTACACTTGCTGTGCGACTGCTGCACCTCACCTTAGCACTCCTGTACCTCAGATGGGAGTTACTGCTTAATAGTTCAGAAATGTGATTAGTTAATCCCTCTGCTTCAGCCCCCCAAAGCTTTTACTGACAGATGTTCTGACTTGTCTTTAAGACCTCCAGTTTCAGAGATTCAGCAGTCTAGCCAATATGTTCCAGTGTTTTACATCCTTTCCTTTAAAAAGCTTTTCCTGATATCCAATTTGACTGTTCCTTGATGCAATATAGACTTGTTGCTCTCTTGTTTCTTGTACCAAGGACCTGCGTTCTCGCTGCAGGTTTTTTATTGCCTGAGAACTCTCTTCAGCTTTTTCTCTTAAGGCTCAGCAAGTCCAATTCATTTTTCTTTCCCTCAATGGTTCATCTTTTTTGCACATCTCAGTCTTTCACTATTTTGCGGTGGTCTCTGTAAAGGTTGCATAGCATGAAGTAGCACGTTCAGAATTGGGTACGGTATTCTGGCTGATGCCTTTTCTATGCTCTGTCTCTACAGTTTTTGTGCCTTTACCTGAAATTGTGCTAATTAGGTGTGCACGAGTTCTCCCTAATACCCGATTTCTGAGCCAGGTTTTTGATTTTTACAAGTTTCTGTTTTATACAGAAGGGTGACTTAGAAGAATTCTCATTCCATCTTACTCTTAAATATCTTGCTTTCATATAGCTTGAAAAGCACTGTAACTTCGTACATTATGAGAAATACATAAATTTTTGTAGACTCAACCCTCTGAATTGCAATTTGTATTTACTAGGAGGAATGTTACTCAGCAAGAGGCTAACATCTTCTGAAATAAATATATGTTTGCTTTTATTCTTCTTGGGGAGAAGATTACCCGCAGGGAGCTGAACCTTTCTCGCTGTGAGGCAATGTGGGCCGCCTTTTGTCAGTGTGAACATCTCCTCTGGAAGATTCCTGACTTGAAGAAGAATGCATTAATTCTGTACAATCAACTCAAGACACGGTGCAGAGACATGGGACATACTTACGAAGAACAAGAGGAATTAGCTCGTTTTGTATCTAAAGATATGTCCATTGAGCATGTTTGGCAATCTCTTGAATTTTTGAAAGATCACAACATAGTGATTAGGGAGAAAAAACTAGTGTTTCTGCCAGATCTTCACGAATCTGAAAAAACCATTGCAAAGTATATAGGCGACCTTCTGTCAAACCGCTCATGGCAACTGGATGTTGATGTGAGAAAGATACTTAATGTTTCTGAGACATCAAGAGAACTGCTAGATAACAAAATGAATGTTACCCAGGCTCATAAAATGGAACATCTGAAGGAAAATAGTCCGAACAATCATAACTGTGAAAATCCCTTTCCTGAAAAGGAAGTAGGGTCTACATCTGGTACCCAAAGTAAAGCAGAGGTAGACTCACATCAGGTGATTGCTATGGAAAAGATTTGTTCTAATCCTGTCACAATCATAAGTGGAAAAGGAGGCTCTGGGAAGAGCACAATAGTTAGCTGCCTTTTTCATCACTTAATGCAGATAGAAAAAGAAGTGGAAGCTGCTTCTAAAGACTTTGAAGAAGACCTGGATGCATCTGAGAAATGGAATACCTTTGATTGTCATTGGGAGTCAGAGAACATGCACACAAAAAAACATTTAAATGTACTATTTACTGCACCTACAGGGAGCGCAGCAAACCTTTTGAGTGAAAAAACTAAGCTTCCTGCATATACACTGCATCAGGTAAGGAATTTTAAATTTTTTCTATATTGTGTTCTGAAAGACCTTTTGGCATTGTCTGTTCTTGTTTTGAAAAAAAAAAGCCTGTTATTGAACTTTCCTTATGAAATGTGTAGCTATTAATGATAATGCTTAGGTACAGCTTGTCAGCATTTGGAAGTCAGCGTTACATTTTGGGGAATCATAAATCAATCCTTTGAAATACATTATTTGCTGTAACTTTGGGGTTTTTTTTCTACTTATATACATCTCGAATTTGTGCCTTTCTAGGGCACCTGGTCTTTTTAGCTTCTCAGGTTTTTTTCTTTGTTTGTTTTATGAAGACAAATACTTTCTAGATGGCAGACCTGTTTTCTAGTGTCCTGTTGCATAGCAATCATACTGATACCTGCACATACATGAAGAGATCAGTAGCCTGGGCTTGAATAATAAGGTAAATTTCATTCACACAGTGTTTTCTTAATCACTGTTAAATATTGCACAATTTTTTTTAGAAAAAAGTAGAAAGCAAACTCTTTGTTAATAAACTTAGGTCAAGTCTCTGTTGTCCTAGGTAGTGGAAGGTGCCAAGAAGACGTTGGAGGTGTGGAATAACCTGTATAAATCAAAATTTTAGTAACATAAGAACTACTGTGGGCTTAGGTTATCTTTGGGGACTGGATAGTTGCCTGTTCCCCTTCCCCGTGCAATGTTGGGGATTTGTTAATGTCAGCAAGTTGCAGTAGGTGTTCTGTTACTGAGCCATCTAATGGCTGACCTTAGATCCTTTAGGGTCCCCGCAGGAAAAAAAAAAAAAAAAAAAGATGCATTTCTCTGCTTTTGTGTAAGTAAGTGTTGATAATCTCAGCTAGATATGTACTCACCAAGGGGGAAAATCAGACTGAACGGTTGAGTCTTCCGAGTCTGTACAGGTTTGAGTTTAGAATTTCCAGTAATAGCTCTAAATACAACGTTAGGAGATACCACACTCTGGCTGCCTTTATAAGACAGTTGTTTACAGTTAATTAGTGTCAGAGCTTGATTTATTTCGATTTGTTTCTAGATCATCTTTAGTTTTAAACGGTGGAAGCAGAGTGGACAAGTACAGCCGTGGAAGTTTTCTACTGTGACGGTTCTGATTGTGGATGAAGGAAGTTTGGTGTCTGTACGGATTTTTAGTTTCGTTTTAAAACTCTTGTGTGAGAATGCTCAGCTTTCCAAACTTATTATTCTAGGTAAGTGAAAAAGCAAATTTAGCATTATACAATACTTGCTTACACTGCATATTGTGTATTATTATCAGAGCTGCCTCTGGTCTCACTGTCTCTTGAAAACCCCAGAATGTTAAATTGTTCTGTACTTGGATATTTCTGATTATTCTTGAGGTCAGATGAGATATGCAGTTTTCCATCTCAACTGTCATTATGAAAGTATCAGTATCTCCATTCTCTGTTTAGCAGTGTTTTGTCTGATTCTGAAAGTCTTATGACTTCCATGTGGTAGCTTATTACGTCTTACAACTGGAAAACTTTTCTGACTTCCTTAAATTTAAAGAAGCTAATGTTAGCATATTAATCACATGTTAGAAGGGAGGTTTCATGTCATTCTTAATGCTAGGATCATCTTGTTTTAATTCAGAAAGGAAAACAAAAACATGTAAAATCAGAATTTCCTGCTTTCTCAGAGGTTTGCTTTTTGGTGTGCCATTTATGGCATTTGTTTTTAAATATGTAACTTTCAAAATGTGTTTGAATAAGATGTGATCACTGTCAGTGTTCATCGTGCAGAGCGATTTGCACCTGCTAGTAAAGCATTGCTGAGTGACGAATATGAAAAATTTGAACTACACTACAGCCTGATTCCCCAAACAATGTTTCTTAGAGTCTTGAAAGTTTTATTTCACATGAATTGTATTGAGGAAGGATGTTACTATGGAGAGGGTTGAAGTTTTACTAATTCCGGTGTGTTTTTTTCAAGACAGTTTTTAACAGGTGAACTGTAATTGCTTCTCACAAATACTAATTTGCATTCTGTTTAGGTGATACTAGACAGCTACCAAGCATAGCTCCAGGAAACATGTTAGCTGATGTCTTTGAGGGTCTAAAATCAAGAGGCTTTTCTGTGGAACTGCAAACTAATCACAGAGCTGAATCGCAACTAATTGTAGATAATGCATCAAGGTAGGATTTTCTTATATAAGAAGCATTCTTGTAGTAGGTCTGGTCCTTTACCTGCAAAATGGTAGTGCATCCAGATTTGACTCTCTAGTACTGCTTCTGTTACAGTTTCTTATTCAAAATCAGTAACACTGGTTTTAAAAACAAACCAACCAACCCCCAAAACAACAAAACCCCACAAATTTTTCCAGAAGTGTATCTGTTGGACAAAAAAATGTGTGTGCTGGAATATTCCTGAATTTTATGGGGTGTATTTCACTATCAAATACTCTCTGTTGTTTTCAAATGAGTTGTGCATGCACTTTATGCCTTCTGAAATGACTTACAATTGCTTCTCTAAAAAGGAAGTTCTAAAGACATTGCTGGTTAAGTGTGACAACAGCTAAAACTGGCTGAATTACATTGACTGTTTAGATTTCAAGGGCCATTAAATCAGAGTTTCTTTTTATTTTTGCTGTATCAATACCTAGAACCTCTAAATGTTTCCAGCATTTGCATTACTTTTGGTCTGGAAATAATCTTGTTTACTGTCAGTGCATGATTTCTTTTTTTAAAACCTCAGACAACAAAATCTAGGTCTGAGTGCCTGAGATGTTTTGATGTTCATTAGGAATTTGAGAATATTCTGAATATTTGCAAGATGTCCAGAACTACTAAGTGTTTTACAAACACTCTCACTTTTTTTTTCAGTAACACTTCTGTGTTACTCCAGTCTGCTCCCATGAAAAGAACTCTATAGGTAGTACTAAGTATCTGCTGCAGTGCTGAAAGGTTTAGAGAATAAATTACCAATTTTTTAAATGTGAAATTGTTATGATCAGAAGAAAGAGGTTTTGGTGTATGTAGAGTAGATGACCAAAAATTTATAAATGGTGAACTTCAGGCTGATGTAGATGATGATACACTGGAATCCTTTAACTGGAGATGATTTTTTCTTTTCCATTTTCCCTCCATTGCTCTGGTCAAGAATCTCTCAGCGGATGTTTCCTGAATTTGATGAGGTGCTGGAAGTTCCTGGTTGGAATGAGGAAATGACAATGCCAAGCCCAGAGAAGAAATTCATTTTTATTACTTTGCCTGCTGGTGGGGGTTGTGACAGTACGTGTGTACAGTCAGTTTGTGATCTTGACTTTCCCTTTGGTAAAGCATAGACTATTTGGCTGGAACTAACATTTGGGGAAGATTTTAGTCTGGTTTTGTTTGTGGTATAAATGTAAATGCTAGATTCATAGTTTACCCTTTGCCTTCTGTAAGTACACACAGCAAGACCCCTAAGTGGAAAGGATACTCTGTAGAGCTCCAGCTCACCAGTTACGTTTTGAAATGGGGGTGATACAGCTTCCACCAGTGTAGTCGGATGTGATCACCTTTTTATGTTGTAGCTGGAGCTGTCAAACCTTAAAAGATTGAATTTTTTGGAGGTGAATCATTTGAGTAAAGAGCAGCTGTAACAGGATGGTGTGTTGGACAGGAATGTGCTGCCAAATCTAGAATCAAATTAGGGAGATGGAAGCAGAGGGGACACCAGTATTTCTTTAAAATGTTTTCGGGTCAGGGTTAGGGCAGTTGTTTTTTATTGGTTTTTTTGGCCTTTACTGAATAAGTGGATTGAGCGGCCTCTACTTTATATGCATCAAAAAGCTTCAGGGGGGATGTGGGGAAAAAAAAAAGTGAGTATCATCACCTTACCTTAATATAGCAACTTAGCAAACAGAACACTAAAACTGGATTTCTTCTGTGAAATCTAAATGTATAGGTCTGTGGCTTAAAAATGTTCTACCTTTACCTCTTTAATGTGCTGTATCAGAACTTTATTTTGCATGAAAGATGCTCTATGCAGCTGTTTAACACAGAGAAATAATTTCTCTCCTTCCATATCACTCATCTTTGAGATTTTAATAGTGGGATAACTGCATGATTGATGCTTTTTTTGGGAGAGTATGTACGTGGGTGTTTTGTGATGTGGGTGTTTTTGTGTTTTGTTTTTTTTTTTTTTGTTTTAAATGAGTTGAAACGTCATTGAAGCAAGAAATAAGTGAAGGCAATTTCATATTGAATTATATTTTTCTTTCTGAAATTGTTCTGCATATTTAATGCCTTACCTCTTGTGTCTTCCAAAACAGATTTGCAAACTGCTATAAAGGCTTTACTTAAAAAAGGACCAGGATTGGAGGATGCCAAACAATCGCAGTTCATTGCTTTCAGAAGGTAACGGAGCATGCAGATACTGAAAAAATCCTTGCTAGCAGCCACAATCCAAAAAGAGCTGAATGTGTTGAGTTGGAGAGACTAGTGGCAACGTCATAAAATTACTAGAGAGAACAACAGGCTAGGTGTCTTTTCCTGTATCTTCTGGTTGCCCCCCAGTCTCTCCATGGAGAGTTGCTTCGTTGTTCTATAAGCTTAATGTTAATTTTCTGCCTTTATGTTCCTGTTCATCTGTACTGTTTATGCTAAAGAAAAAAAGGATGGACATAAGCAGTCAGCTTTTTGTAGTAGATTCTCTGGGAGCTTGTGCTGTGGTGTTTGCTAAAGAAGTGCAGTGTTCTTCAGAAGCGAAAAGTGGGGGCTTGACTGCAGGAGGAACCTGCAAAATACAAAGACATGTCCATATTCAAACGTATCGCATCACGGCAGGTGTGAATTCCAGGGTGCATGATGGAACATATAACCTACTGTCTATATGTGCTTCTGTCACAGGTGGACATTGACCAAATGACAGAAGATACTTGCATTTTGGCCATGGGACAAGGGCCAGATTTAGTCACATAATCTGATGGGCATTAGTGCTTCTGCTGGGCAGTGGTGAATGCCTACAGTTTGGGTTTTCGGAAGCACAGTACTCATCATTTAAGAAGGGGTGGGGTGTAGGGTTCTAACACACTTTGAAGGAAGATTGGAAAGGTTAGTAATCATTGGTAATGTGAACCACAACAGGAGCGTGAATAGTATGGATGGCCTCACAGAAACACTGAAGGGATAAATGTAATGTCCAGTAGTACCAATAGTCCATAAACTTACACTTCTGCACAGAGGGGTACTTAAGAAAAAACTCTTCCACTTCTATTTGTGAAGAACCTTTTCTCAGCAATTAAAAACCACCCACTATTTACAGGTTACTAGTGTTCAAATAAGTGATTTATAAATTTTAGCTAGTTCACCTGTTTGTTGTGAATGGTGAGGAACTCCGAAATCAATTTCATTTCTTCAGTCTGCATTCAGGTACAATACTGTTATTAACGATTTCCGTGTAAGATTCTTCTAGAATATATTTATAGATACATAATGTGCATTTAAAATTCCAGGTCTTTAAAAAGCGAATAAACCTGACTATTTTTAATACATCCACAGACAGAAAATAATATATCCAGACTTTAGTTTTTCTTTAGTTTCCTTCTTTATCTTAAAAACAAATCTAGCTAATATAGGTATGCATTGCAAACATCCTTGGCTCACTTTCTATGGTATTTAGACAAAACTGTTCCTTTACTGCTCTATCTTCTAACCTCTGAATCAGCTATTGTTTTTAATTGTTGGTGGATGATCATCATAGCTAAAATGGGCTTTTTCCATTATTTATAAATTAATGCTAATGTGGCATTGCATGTAACTTTGTTTTGTACATCACGATTTTGTTCATGTTCTTGTTTTGTATGATTTAGGAAAGATTGTGATCTAATAAATGAACTTTGCTGCCAACACTATTCAAATCATGTAACCAGGTAAGCCAGTGTCTTGCAATTTTTACTTTGAACAATCTCACTTTGTTTTTGGAAGTGTTACAGCCAGGCCAACAACCTAAAATAAGAGTATAAAACTTTTAATGTTTCTTCTAGGTCTCATTATTTATGTTAGAAACATTTATGTAATAAACTTTCTTTGATGGGTTCTTTAATCTCAACCTGGACTGTGAACAGAGGTAACGAACTGCCTTTCATTTAAATTGTCATTATGTGAATTACAAGATTTTGAGTTGCTGCTGAATTATTTAAAATGGACTTGAAAAAGACTGTCAAGGTTGATTATTTTTTGCCACTGTATGATTTCTAAATAGATTCTGAAATATTTTTGGAAGCAGGATTTTGGTGCTACTCCATATTACTGTGTTCTACAAAAGTTCAAGAAACTTCTTTTAAATTTGAGTTGTCTTAACTCTTTTGAACATTATTAAGTTTTTAATCTGGCCCAAGTATAGAGAGGGGATGGAGAAGAAATACTGAGAGATGGTAAATGCATACTTTGTAAAGACACTTCTCCTCTCTGACCTAGAGACCATAAAAACCAACCTTCATTTCAAATTAATGACAAGATTGTCTGCACGCGGAATACATATCTCAGGGATCTCTTGCCAGACTGTGGTTTCAGAGAGGATCCTAAGCACCATGAAAGCAAAAGTGGAGAAACGGCTCATGCTACAGAGGCTGCTGAGGAGGGCAAACGACTATGCAATGGGGATGTATTTTTCATAACAGGGGTAAGTCCTTGCTGCAAGAACTTGCACAAATTCCCGTGGTAACTGATTCAGTCCTTGTTGAATCCCCAGAACAGAACAATTCACACTTTATAATTTCAGTTCATAAGACAGACTTAGTTCTCCTGCTAAACTACTGTGTGAAAGGCAAGGAAGAGGCTGACTCACAATAGAGAATGAAAGAAAAAAATCTCTGGGTGTTTTTGTAAATGTGCTTCAGTTGGTCTGCTAATGTCCAGTGTAAATAAATTCTGTAAATACTCAAATATATTGTAACTGAAATGCATAATCTTTTGCATATAGGTAGAAATGTAGTCTTGAGTAAAGAACAAAGCTAATGTTACAGCTTGAGTTCTTCTTTGGCAGAAAACTAAGCTGACCAAAAAATCCAGCAACACAAAACCCTGTATTTTTCTGCTGGGTTCAGTGAGTTGAGTTGACTCAGCAGAGGGTCCAGGGAAAGTATCATCAGTATTTGTGCATGGGGAAGGGGGACCATACAGGGTTGGCGGGAGAGAGCAGGCTTTTCTCCATTTGTGGCAACAAATCATTAAACAGCCTCACTGGTATTATTTCATTGCACCTTAGGATAATCTAAGTTTTCTGGGGGGGTAAAACTTCCTTTCTCAGCATTTTTCTTACTAAACAGAAGGAGTTAGGGTAGGCCCTGTAGAGTGAAACTGTTTTTTTTGAAGGTAGTCAGTGAGAGATAGCAGTCTTTTGGTTTAGTGTCTTCTGAAACTGAAACTATTTTCCTTGAAGGTAGTCAGTGAAGGATGGCAGTCTTTTGGGTTTAGTGTCTTCTGAAACTATTTCACTAGGTTGACATTGTGGCTATTGTAATTTCAGGGAAAGCTAGCATATGCACACACACAGATGTGTAGACATTGATCGAACTGCTGATACAACCTTCCTTACTGCTGAGTGTTCTTGTGCTATTTCTTTAGGATGTAGAGACTGATAAACAGCGTTTTTTGACCATCAGCAGCGTGTACGGCCCCACTTTCACTGTGAAGTATAAGGCACTGAAGAATCTGTGTCACATCAAACATGCATGGGCCAAACTGTTCACGCATTTCAGGTAAAAAAAAACCACAAAACAAACCAAAAAAACCCCAAACAAAACAAAACTATGAGCTGATAAAACTTTCTCATGGCTTTATCTTGCTAATGCACTGTATTTTCATGTGAAAGAGTAAGAAGTTCTCTTAAAACTAAAATTCCTTGAATGCAGGATAGAAAATACTCTTGAAGGTGTCCCAACTTCCTTGTTCTTGTAAACTGTCAACCTGTCTGTCTTTCTTTTTATTTTTTTTTTTTTTTTAAACTACTTACTGGAGATCTTAATTTGATAAGGTGTTCTTAAACACATTTCAGGGTTCTGAGGCAAAAACCATTGTCTACGTGGTTGGCAATGTTGGCCGTCAGCACTGGCAGCATGTGTACACAGCCGTGACCAGAGGACGCTGCCGTGTCTATGTTATAGCTGAAGAGCTGCACCTCAGGAGAGCGGTCGCTAACAAGAATATACCCAGAAAAACTCGCTTAGAGACATTTTTGAGAGCGGCAATCGCAGAAGCAAGCAACTGTCCCAAACAAACTTCCTCTTCCCTGACGAAGAGCTGGCAAAGTCAACTTGAGACTCGGTCCGTTTCCGTAACTCAAGGTGCTCCTGACCCATCCGCACCTCTGACTGACTTGTTTAAACAGGAAGGGTCAGCAGTTCTCAATAAAGAAGAGCAGACGAGCAAGCTGCAGCCGTATCAATGTAAAAGACAACAAACTCTTGCAGAGAATTCCGAGGATGCTACAAAAATACCCTCTGTAAGTATCTCCTTACTGAGAAAGTTTAACCCAAACTTCTGTGCTCTTTGACCACTGCAAGTCACCTGGATACTGTTATGATTGTTTTATTATTATTTATTTAGTAATTTTCAAGATGACCAGTAATGGAAGCAGTCAAGTTTGGCAGATGTTTTCCCAGAGTAATATATGACTAACAGGGAAAAAGAAGTTACAATGTCAACAGCAGTAAATTTTTACATCTTGTTAGTCACTGGAGTGATCCGTTGGCTAGCCTAGCCTATAATAGCTTATTCTTTGTGTACAGAAGTCAGTTTTTAGGAGCTGACTTGCTGTGAAAGATTGATATAAAATTTAATTGTTGATTTTTATATAAGCAAAGATGCTTAACAGATGCTTTTTTCATTATATTGCATTTCTGAGCTCTGTCATGGAGAAAGGTGGGTTTTTTTGGGGTTTTTTTGGTTTTGGTTTTTTTTTCCCTGAAGATGTTACTGTAGTTTAGTTCTGGTTCAAACTCTGATAACAATTTTGTTTTGTTTTGCAGGCAACAGTACAAGATTCCCCACTTGAGTCTTCCAGACTTCTGAATCTAACTTTGGAACAACCGACTCCAAGGAAGCTTTTCAAAAGCTTAACAAACCATTAACTGTCCTTGTTGTGAACCTTTCTTGAACCTGTTTCCTTCAAGATTTGGAAGAGGGAAGCAGGGTATGCAGATTTTCAAAGGCTTTTCTGTATTTGCATGTTCTGTGAAGAACAGCTTGTTTTAAAGCAAGACTTTTATATTTTCAGTGATCTGTTCTTAGTAGGTGATTCCTTGGTGTGTCAGTCATCAAAAATCCTATCATTCTTTTGTTTTGGTGAAGAATGAATGTCCCGGTTTCAGCTGGGATAGAGTTAACTGTCTTCCTAGTAGCTGGTACAAGTGCTGTGTTTTGAGTTCAGTATGTGAAGAACATTGATAACACACTGATGTTTTCAGTTGTTGCTAAGTAGTGTTTAGACTAAAGTCAAGGATTTTTCCGCTTCTCATGCCCAGCCAGCGAGAAAGCTGGAGGGGCACAAGAAGTTGGCACAGGACACAGCCAGGGCACCTGACCCAAACTGGCCAACAGGGTATTCCATACCATGGGATGTCCCATCTAGTTTAGGAACTGGGCAGTGGGGGCAGGGAATTGCCGCTCGAGGACTGGCTGGGTGTTGGTTGGCGGGTGGTGAGCAATTGCCCTGCGCATCATTTGTACATTTCAATCCTTTTATTACTACTGTTGTCATTTTATTAGTGTTATCATTATTAGTTTCTTCTTTTCTGTTCTATTAAACCGTTCTTATCTCAACCCATGAGTTTTACTTCTTTTTTCCGATTTTCTCCCCCATCCCACTGGGTGGGGGGGGGAGCGAGTGAGCGGCTGCGTGGTGCTTAGTTGCTGGCTGGGGTTAAACCACGACAATGAACTTACAGGTCTTACACGTTCCAGACCTTCCCTTAAAAAACACACAGGGATTTCTAAGTCTAAAGACTGTAGCCATCCATCTCAAGATTTATCCACCTCCTGATGCTGCAGAATTGATGAGAAGCTGTAACTAACTGGTGTGCCCAAACTGCAGTTTGCTCAAGTCAAAAAATAACAGTTCATAAAGGGGACTCCTTTAGACTTTTCCAATGTGGCAGAACTACAGGCATGAAGCTTCATCGGAGTATGGATTTTAATCTTGTTATAAATAGCACAGGAAAGTTCCAATCAGTGACACAGAAACTTTTTCCCACTTTGTACTTGGAAGAGATGTAGAACTTGCCATTGCTGCTTTAGCCAATAGTTATATGCTGGTAATGATCTTGGTAAGAGAAGCAGAAGTCCAAGTTGGAGTTCAAGTAATCAAGTAACATTCAACTTTCAACCTTTTTTGTGTACTTTGTGACTTGCTGCATTGTAATTTTTGAGATCAAACAGTCATCTTATTAATCAAACATCAGACAAATCGTACTAAAATTGGGACAGCTTGCTTGCTTTTAACAATTATTAAATTTTTTTTTACACACAGGGCAGGAAAAATGGTACCACAAATATAAAGGTGGTATTTTTTGCTACAGCTATGGAAAAAATATTAAGTAGAAAAATTCTATCTCATTTTTAATGTCTTTAAATCACTGTTTATTTCAATTTATACAGTTTTTCCATACAAATATTTGCAACAATTTGAATTTCAAAAAACAACAGACGATAAATATCATGCTATTAAAGTATTAAATTTGTACAAAAATACTTTACAGTTTAATACTTATTTGTTACAAATAAAAATACATATTTAAGTGACTCATGAAGTTGGTTTTTTTTTTTTTTTTTTTTTTTTTTTTTTTTAACATGATTCAGTATTGAATGTCATTCTGACCTCCTCTGGCAGTGCTGAAATAGAAATCAGAGATACTTGTGTGTGCAAGGCAGGTGAGCTTGTTCATGTATTGGAAACAGCAACAGGGATACAGTTAAACAGGTTAAAGTGACCAGAAACAACTCTGTAAGGTGATTGCTTAGATATGGAAACTCTACAAATGTACAAATCCAGTATCTTTATATTCACCAATAACAAGAATTACTAATAACAACTTGAATACTGGAATAAACCAAAGCAGCTGCTGGTGAGCATATAAAGCAACTGGCAGTATTTTATTGCTTGGGGGGAGAGGAGAGAATCTGTGTGATGTGTTTGTAAAATATATTTACAATTTTAAATTCTAAAAACGTGTTGCAGGGGGTAATGTTTATCATAAAGAAGGCTGAAAACAGCATATTAAATGGGACTTTTGTCCCTTCAAGAAATTGTTGACCGACTTAAAAAGCTCACGTGTTGACAGTACAAGTTTACAGGTTTGTGGATCATTAAAGAGCTTTTGTATCAATCTTCCACTGCCATAGTTTAAAAAAAGCCATTTTCTTTTAAAACCTCTCTAATTTGTCTGAAATCATTTCAGTTTTACTCATCAGTAATCCTCCTTCAGAGGTTTTATTCCACTAAAAAGGTCTCTGTGTAAAAATCCCCACAGGTTGCCAGACACACCATTAAATATTTCATTGCATAGGGAGTAACATACGCTGTAACAGAATTTACCGAGGTGGGGGAGTAACGTTCACCGCATACTGCAGCTTCCTGCAACCATTTTGTTAAAACTTCTACACCATGCACCCTTCTTGCCGGCAGAATAAAGGTCCCCAAAATTACAGATCTAGTCATTTAACAAGACAACCCAGTGCAGCATACTGCTCTTCCTTGTCTGTCAGACAGCTCCTTTCTAATAAAATGTTTTTAAAAACCACGTAACCTGGACCACTGCTGTTACCAGAGGTTAACTCCGTGCTTTTCCCTCAAACAGCAGCTGCTGCTGAAGGGAGAGGAACATTTAAATCATGTTTAAAACATCTCCCCAGTTTCTTACTTGGGGGGGGGGGGAAGGCCCTTACGATTTTTTGTACTGTTGCTAATGCTAGACTGCTCAGAATGGAATGACTTGACTAAATTAAGAATTAAAACTTTTTCAAAAGTAACCAAGAATTAATATAAGCCTTGAGACAGACAGACTGACCTCCTGTGCTTTTCAGTGCTATATAGCATCTGAGCCTCAATCTCAGAGAAATCTTAGAGGGATTTAGCACCATAATTGTCTTTCGTTACCAAATGTCCCACTAAAATGATTTTCTGCTATAATGTATTTGTAGGATCCCGCGTTTCTGCATTGACACTAGCGTGTCCACTCTTTTGAAGGAAGGCATTGTTCTGATCGCTCCACTCCCCACTCGCTGAAGTCTGTTGTTCTGAGCTTCCTTTCTGAGATGCCAGTGGGTTTCTGCTAATCACCAGTTCCAGCTTATTGCCAGATTCTGCGATGAGGGGCACAACTAGACAGCAGTCAAAGTCTCTGGTGCGAACGTGGTTTACCTGAATGGTTAGAAAATCGATTTTTATTACCATTTTTGGAAAAAGAAATGAGATCACAAGGGAAACAGATTTATCCTTGAGACTATGGAACCTGATTAAAACGTTCCAGGTAGAGAATCGTCTACACAAGACTATTTAACCATGGCATCCGGTCTGAAGACGCCGGTTAAGTTTTCTACTCACCCTTTCACAGAATGTAAAGTGGGTATATTTACAGTGGTGGCAGCTATCACAATGCCCACTCCATAAATGACATTTAACAGCGCATCGTTTTTCTGTCTTTCACGGTGTTCATTAATTTAAATACAACAGGTCATATCTAAAATGTCAATTCAGTTCAGGTCTTCTCTGGTTTTAATTAATATATGAAGTTTTTTAATGGGCTAAGTTGACAGAAATTTAGTTTTTCCTGCATGGTCCAACATGGCACTGGGGAAGTGTGGCGCTCAGTCAGTATTACATTATTACAACTACGGCAAGCAACAATTTGGATTAAGCAGGGAAACAATTCTCAAGTCTGTATCAAGAACAGCAAAAATTATGAATCTGTCTGGAAATGCTGTGGGAAATGCCAACTTTCCAGTGAGCATTTGTATGTCTCCTTTGGAGTTGTGAAACACCTAACATTCTGAAACTATTTGTTTCTTCAAATAGGACTTTACAGAAGAAACTAGCCTTAGTGCCACTGCATAAAAGCCCAAGTCACCATGAAGCATGGCCTTTTCTTACCGAGGCTCTAAGCGATTTACATGGCCTGTGGCACAGAGCAATTACGATCATTTGTCCTTCTTCCCATCCCCCTAGACACATCCCTTCCCAGCAGAAATGCAGAACAGTACTGCTCATCATTTAAAATACAGTAAGCAATGTAGATAAGGCTGTTCCAAATAAGTGATGAAAACACTTTGTGTGGTTTCCTACGATGACGCCCGTGTAGATACACAAACAGCCTGCAGTGTGGTTACAAATCTTTCTACAAAATAATCAGTGTCACATCCCGTCACGCTAAGCCTGTGTGGTGCCATTACCTGTAGAAGTCTGTCGTATGGTTTTAAACCTCCCAGATCGCCAGGGCCAGCTGGTCGAATGTTTTTAACATACACTCCTTTTTCCAATAAGCCATCTGAGACACTGAACCCAAAGTCTTCTCCATCAGAGTCCTTGTACAAAGTTACCTGTGGAGGTGATGTAACATGATGAGAAGGGGGAAAAAAAAAGTTTGTCCACATTTCTACATGCATTAGACAGGCTTCCTTCCTGGTTTTGGTGCTTTTTTTTTCCACGGTAGAGAGATCACTTACCTACTATTTGGTACTTACAGTATTAAGAGTTGTTCCCATTTTGACCTTATATTCTCAGAAGCCACCTTATTCTTCAGTAACAAACAGCCCTTTTCACTTCTGCTTGTCAGCTGGAAATTTGTGGTATTTATCCCACCTTTCGTGGTGTCATTTTTTTCAGTCTTAGTTTTTTGTTCCCTGTTCTCTAGTTGCCAGGATCTGAGTACAAATTAGGTTTAGTTTTGCTTCAGGGATGAAGACCTGGCCTCAACCAAGCAATTGGTGTCATGTCTTCCAAAACTTCCAGAGGGCATCAACACCACCAGCACTGTAAGCCCCAGCCAGCCTGGTTTTGGCCAGGCAATGGTCCACCCTGTAAAGCCTAATCTCAAATGTGCTCAGTGTAAGAGTTGTAATGAAACCTTTTCAGAAAGTACTAAGGTGGCTCCTTCTGAAAGAGCTTGCAGTGGTCTTACATAGCCAAGAGACTGTTGTTCAAAAGCAGGAAATAAATACAAGTTAATAAAACTATTAGGAGAAGTTTTTTCAGGTGTTCAGAGAACAAGTCCTCACGGGTAGTTTTGTGAATTCAGTTATTGGATAGAAAAAGGTTCAGAAACTTCTTTGTAGGTATGTGGCATGCTTAGGTTTTTATTTTTGTGAGGTTCTTATTTTTTCTTGCTTCTTTCTCACATCAGGAGTGCAGACCTATGCAAGTAAATTGTGTGAGTCAATGGTGTGACATCTGACTGATGCTGGCACAAAATGTTTGCAGATACAGTCACACAGTCAAAATTGTGCTTTCACTGCTATATTTTATATCACTTTGGGTTCAAAATACTGGTTTTATCATACCTCAGCTGATAAAATGACAACATTAAGAGTGCACTGTAATTTTATAACGGCTTGGTACTAGTAATGCTCCATGTGCCGCACCCTCGTGCGTGCCAGCCACTGAGTTCCTTTCTGGTGTTTCTGAATTACAGCATCACTCAAATTGAAGGGGACTTTGGAAAGTCTCTGGTCCAACCTCCTGCCCAAGGCAGGCCACGACCAAATACAGATCAGGCTGCTGAGGCCTTGGTCAGTATTTCATAGAAGAATGCCAAGGCGCAGCAGTGCTGGGGCACCATGCTGGTTGGTGCTGCCTGCAGAAAGCTTCTGTGATCCTGCCTTAACTGCTGTTGTGAAAAGGTAAGGTGGGACAGAGAAGGTTGTCTCAAAACAGGAGCGAAGGATTTGGTGAGATCAACAAAGAGCACAGACACTTGGTTTGAGTTTTTTTCCTGCTCTCTGCAGTTTTCTTGACTTTACTTGGCTTTAGTGCCATATCAACAGTGCTTTAACCGGAATTAAAACAGACTCACTAGTAAGTTTGGTAGCTATCCTGGGCAACAGCCGGGAGGAGTAAGATACAATGCCAGGTGCTGCAGCATTAGCACTGTTTTATCTGCAGACGTGGACAGTGCATCGCTGGGCTGCTGTGACAATGTCTGTCTGTCTCATGCTGTGGGAAGCACAAATGCCCCCAACACAGTATTTGTCCCTTACTTTACACCCGTTCCTCCTCTTCCCTTGTTTTTCTCCCTCTGTACAGTAGAGCAAAGCAGAGAGCCACACCTGAAGTCCCATTAACTAAGCTGAAGGCTTTCTCCCTGCCAGTGACTGATTCTCATATTTGGGCATGAGCTGCCATTGTAAACTTCCCAGTGGCTGCTGTGTTTAAGGTCCTTGTCTTCTTTTCTCCCATCTTCCCCCAAAGTAACTTGCGGCTGAACCTGTCATACTGCCCTCCGTCTCAGTGTGAATTTCAGGAGTCAAAGGGCATTTCAGCTACTGACAAACCTATCTGCAAATTAAAAATAATCCATTTTAGAATGATTTTAATTTATATCAACAGCTGCTGTACCTGCAGGACTCTGGGAAACTTCTAATAATTTGTTATCAACAGAGGCTTTTATGTGTGATATCACAGCATGTCTAACATGGCTTTGATCTGAGGTGTGTTTGAAGCTGCTACGAAAGACTGCCATAAGACTACCTACCATTCTAGCAAGACTGAAAAAGTTAATAAAGGAGGGAAATATATTTTATTGACAGATTTGTGTGTATTTCCTGGCAAGAATGAAAAATAATTAGCACAGGACAAAGACACAAATTATCTTCAAATGAGATAACTTTTTTCCCACACCATCACAAAGGATAGGAGTGCTTCATGTTAACTGCTTCTTAAAGAAGCCTTGAAAAGTAAAGGTAAAAATGTGATACAGTGCCTAAGAGGAGAAGACTGGCTTAAAATACTATGCATTGTTCTAGCACAGATGGCACAATTTTTAAAAGGAACATTCCCGTTCCACTTACTCTTTTTCTTTCCCCCTTCCTCTTCCTTCAGGCACTGGAGTTACGTGGAGCTGGATCCAACCTCAGGTGAACTACAAAGACATACTGAACGGGACTCTCTGAAGTCATCTAGACTGTAAGCTTGCCCTAAGGCAGAATCAGCTGCATCTAACCCATTTCTGGGAGACATTTATCTGTCCTGCTTTTTAAAATCTCCAGTTATGGAGACTCCACAGTCTATTAAAGTAATCCCTTCCAGTGCTTCAGATGTTTTCCTTGGGTCTAAACTAAATCGCCCTTGCTGAGAGTTAAGCCTGCTGCTATCCACAGAGAACAAGATCACTTTATTCTCTCCTTCTCTGCAGCAATGTGAAACAAGGCTTGTTTTTCTCTGGACTCTGTTCAGTAGGTTAACACCCTTCTTTAATTTTCAGAACCCAAACTGGACAGTCTATTACAGTCCAGACTTTATCAAAGCCAAGCTAGAGTGGGAAATAATTCTGCATGTACTACAGACGGTGGTCCCATTTGTATGGTCTAGGACAGCGTTGCTTTTTTCCTATTTTTAGTGAGTGGTCTATTAGCAAACAAAATACACAAAAAATTCTGTTCTACAGATTATAGGAAGTGCCAGTCCACATTAGCTCACCTTATCTTGTATCTTGTCTGTAATAATGCCCAGGGAATGCACATGCTACTTCATGCCCAGCTTGTGAGTCAAAAAATGGAGCATTGCAAATGGTAAGGGACACGAAAGAAGAGATTTACTGTAGAGGTGAGAAACTGCATTCACAAGACAGTGGGAAGTACTGCAATAGTGGGGCATGGAGAGAAGCAGAACTTGAGAATGATTGTCCAAAGTCTTTTCTTGCTCCCCTAGTTGTTCAGGTTGGACTTTCCTGATTTATATGGACTAGACATTCTGGAAGGGAACTGTCACTACCATGCCATCAGAACTTGTATATAAAGATGTATAAAAATATTTTCTCATTTCCCTGGTTCTTCAGATCTACATAGCATAGAAGATTTTAAAAAACTGTTTTCCTTATGGCTGTCTTCTCGTGACTTTTGCTTTATTTAACAGGAGCTTGGAAATTAAAGCAACTGATACTTATTCACTTAAGAGATGAGGCCGCGATTTAACTTTGTTGCAGGTTTGACAGCTGTCACATTTTTTAGGTACAAGTCATCTGCAGAGAACTTTCTTTTGTATTATAGGTTATAATTCAGGGGCTACTTCTTTTTAGGGCACCATATATTCTTCAAAGGGAATCTCAGAGTAAAAACCCTGCTCTCCGAAATACCCAGATTTTTGTTTAATAACGGGTATGGACAAAGCCTTACCACATGGTTTTCTCATCTTCACTTGCCAGTAGCCCTGTCTGACGGGTATGAGATTGCAGGCAATTCATGCAATACCTAAATCATGCTGTTCTATCTGCACTTCTGATCACAACTGTTTGGAAGGTTTGATCTCAATAGCAAAATCTCCATTATGGGCAATTTGTTAGACTTTTAAATTTACATCAGGAGCCTAAGGGAAAAAGAAAGCTGAAATAGAAATTTAATTCCTATTTCATAAGCAATTAAATAGTTAGAAATTTTAAACAGGCTTACAAGTTTTGAGCCTGTTTCTATGCCTCTCCTCCCACTCAAATCTATGGAAAATGCTTAATTTAAATTCATACATCTTGCACAGATCAGCTACTGTGGTATTTTAACCGACTGTGATTTTAGGCTAATGACTACTTGCAATAATAATATTGAAAAATTATCTGATGTCTAGTGCATATTTTTGCTCTCAGAGGAATGCGTGCTCTATGAAACTTTAAAAAAATGGTCCGCTATTTTAGAAAAATATTAATCTATATGCTTACCTAGGTAGATAAAATCAATTAAAAGCATTAATTAAATTTGGGTACAGATATAGCAATATGCTATCCAGTTAAATTAAATGTTACTTATTAAACCATCAGGAACAAATGTTTGAAGAGATTCGTACGACACTTATCTCAATTGTAGCTTCCTCAGGATGAAGACAGTTCAAGTACGTGTTTGGTGAATGTAATGCAGTGAAGTAAGAAAGAGCAGTGAAGAATTCAGGTTAACTTGCTGCAAAGTTTGCAGCATTCAACAAAATAATCCTCAGGGCTGTGTTACCTTTCTGACAGGTGTATATCTGAGAAGGACAAGCTACTAATGTCATCTGTTCCCCATGCCGTTCCGTTAGACTTACTCATCTGTGTTTGTAGCCCAAGCAGTTTTTGTCCAGTCTTTCTCTTACCCTATAGAGATTCTTTGGTAGAATCATATATTCTTGCTCTCTTACAATCAGATTATGAAAAACCAGTGGAACATTGACCTTAGCTGGTCCATTTTCTGCCATCAAACTTAAGGTCTGAACCCTGATCTATAGGGTACATAGGCCCCGACTCAACAGGCGTGCAGACTCATCGCACCAAGGCAGTGAATAGGCACCCGACCTGTCCTGCTGAAGAAACTGGGAAAGCTCAGCAGCATGCAGTCAAGTACATCCTTAAAAGTCTTTAAGTCTTAGGCAAGCTATGTCTTAGCTTGTATTTCAGAGACAGTTTATACAATCACAGTTTTCCAAACCAGTTCTTATTTCACTGGTTGTCCCGTCAGTGGCCCAGCTGATGAAGACATTTGCCTGCAGAGGGCAGAGCACATTTGCCAGTAAGGCCTGTTATGAAAAATATTAAATCAAGGCATTTCTCTGACAGTGAAGTGAAGTCATACCTGTGGCATTGCAGCTCTTCTGGAAAACTACCATTGGACAAGCTGTCCATGAGAAATAGCAACTGAACAGCTTATTAGTGTTAAACTAGAGATCTAATACAAAAATGAAGGAGGAGAGAGAAAGTAACAGGCACACTGCTCCACAAGAACCACTAAGAAAACTAACAAGTAAGAACTTGCTGAGATGGGCATGAATACAAAAGCAGCCCATGATGCTTGGGTTAACCTGCAGGTGTCATCATAGGGGTACAAGAACACTTCGGTGAATCAGACTGTAAGATCCAGTCAATGGTTTCTATTTTTCTTAAACGACTGTAAGGATTTGCAAAATCCTTAGTGCATGTTCAACTTTCAGATTCTTCGAAAGGAAATGACTCTTTTCTGGATGTCAGAATAGACAGTATAAGCAAACTCAACATCACTTCAGCAGACAATGCAAAAGTGGGTATGCTATCTGAACAAAAACTGGAAATTACTAAAATTGAAGGTCACAGCAATCTTAAAAAAACCAGACAACTAAAGAGACAGAAAGCTCAAGGACAGGGTATTTTTTACTGCCCAGGACTCTTAAGAGCTAGCAGCTATCACAGAATACCGACTCATTAATAGAAATCTGACGACTCCTTTCTAGGAAAGGATTTATTTTATCAATCATGAAAGGCTAGTTTTACAATCCATAGGAGAAAACTGTGCCTTTGCTGAATGTGAGCACACCATGAAGTGCCTACTGCCATAGTTTTGTTTTATATCTTGCATTTACTTGCCACTCAGGAAAACTGAGCGCAGTAACTAACTCATTAATCATGTCACGTCAAGCTGGAAATATGAACAGCTTAAAACTATCACAACACATCCTACTGATTGTTTACATTGGCAATGGATTGATTTTCCAGATACAAGATCCACACTCTACTGCCTTCTACAAACATTCATTTAGCCCACACTCAGTGAGTCCTTACCTCACTGAATTAAAACTGTATGAACTACAAACTAAACTCAGTCAAACCTACAGAGACTAGAAACCAAACCAACTCTCCTGAGAATGACAACATGTGACCTCTTAGTGACAATTCTCCGCTCTTCTGCCTCCTCTCTGGGAAGATCTCAAACCTTTAAGAGGATGATGGGTACAGGAGATGGGAGGCTCATTCCCATCAATCAGAACAGCATTATAATATCCACCAAAGTTCTGGAAACCAGTTGCTATTATTGCCTCACTGGACTTGAGACTTAAGCTGGTAGCGTGTTTGCTCTGCCTGTCTGAAGATACTTTATCCAGTACTTCCTTGGCGTGCAGAGCCACCTTCATATCACCAGGTGATTTCAACAGTCTTGAGCAGTGAAAAATTCCACAGACTGAGGATTACTTACCCTTTTTAGAGCAAAGGAATTAAAAGAGAAGAGAAGCAATAGCTAATTTGAAATAACATTCTCTATTATGTACATCGAGTCTCATGTATTTGATTCAAAATGAGTGTTAATTTAAAAAAGGACCAATGGGAAGCCCAAACCCTCTGGAGTAATTTCCTAAAGAAATATATTTTCTAGAAACTAAACTTTGCTTTTTTAATGAACACATTTTGCAGAGATGAGTTATTGGTATTGTCAATTCAAATTACCAGTGGAACCTCCCTGCAAAAGAGCAGTCCCTTTTGAGGATTTATTGTAAAACGAAATGGTAGACAAAGATGCATCTTATTGGTTTGTTTCCCCCACAAGGATATATCATTAATGTGTTTGTAAGAACTAATATGCATGGCCCCCAAATTACATCTGTGGAGTCATTATAAAAAGTGCTTACTCTATTGCCATATAATTAGATTCACTATGCTGAATATATTATTCCAAAGCTGTCAGAAAAAAAATTACAGACCTTGTGTAACTCCACAGGAGTTGGTGACATGATTTCTTTCATTTCTTGCTTAATTTTTCTCAGAACCATGGACTTTCTCCCCACATCCGATGGCAATGTGTTACTACGAGTAGCTTGACTGTAATGTGGCCGTACAGTACTTCTTTCCTGGAAGCTGGCTTGTCTTCCCAGCTGATTACGAGGTTGTGGGTTTTCATGATTCAAACTCATTGTACTTCCTGACATAATTGTGGCCTAGAGCATTAAGGAACAGGTTAATTTTTTAACACAGAATGTGGGTTAAGTAAGTGGTTAATTCATAGCAGTAGGAAAAACATTTCTACTCTTTGTTAAAACACAATCGCTCAGGGCACAGCAAAAGGCAAGAGGGTAGATGTTCAATCTGCTTGCAAGTCACTATAAAATAAAGGACCACAACAAAACACAACAACAATAACAGAACCCTATGGGCAAAAGTTTTCAGACAGCACTTCAAACTAAAATACTGAGCACTAGAATGGCTATGCTTGTAAGTTAGTCCCCTGGCAGACTGAAGAGTGTGTAGTATCATGGGTTATTTTAAAAATATTTTACATGTAAATAAAATGACATTTAAGTTGTGGCATAATTGCATTTGTTGGAATTGGAGCTATAGGAATGCATTTACAATTCAGACGGTGCGTGCCAGGTAAAAAAATGTGAGTCACCAGAATACGTAGGCAGCTCTAGAGTCAGCACTGGCAGAGAGCGTGCCCAGATACCACCCCAGGCCGGGGAAAGCTCAGTGCAGGTAAGCTCGCTGCCTGGAGAGAAACTTTGCATAACACGCATATTGCAAGAGTAACTGCCTTAGCTTAGCACTAATACTTCAGAAGTACAAGTCCCTGCCTCACTGCTGTTCTTAATCTCAGTAAAAGAAGCTAGCCTTTTATGTTAGATGCAAGAATACAGGGAGGGTGAAATCCTGAAAGAGGATGACGGAGTCATCTCGTCCACTGGATGGAACAGACTGACATGAACCCCCCCCGTGCACAGCGAGGAGCCTCCCCCCTTGTGAAAAGCTTTCTGCTTCGGGGAACAGGAGGCAAACGCGCTTCGGCGCAGCCACCCTACAGAGGTGCCACTGCTGGGATAGGGTACGCTGAATTTCCTATTTATTCTCCCCGGTGCTGACGGACACGTGAAAAGGGAAATTAAAAGGCCATAACCTGAACTCTGACTGGGACAGGATGCAGGCAGCCTGCCTGAAAATGAGAAATTAAAATGAAGGGGGAAAAAATAAGGGGAAAACAGGCAACTAAACGTTCACTTCTGACTCTGGTGAGCATGTCTGTCACCCTTCTTTCTCCCAGCTCCAGCACTACTTTCATTACGAGATAATATACTGTAGCCTTAACAGTCTCTCTTGTGCTCAATAATGACTGATATTACTGCCTGATGGAGCAAAAGCATCCAGAGCACTTGGCAAACAACAGTTTTCTTTGCTCTTTGGCTGAAGACCTTGAAATGAAAAACGATAAGGAGTCCTTGACTACGCAATGGCACTTCATAAAATAGAGGCATCGCCATTCTCAGCATCCTGACATACTGAATGAGTCTTGCTTTCATTTCAGAGCTGTGGGTTGTGCAACAAGGCGATGCTATAAATGATACAGCATCTACAGTTCTGAATTTCACTTTTGTGAAAGGCTGAGGAAAATTCAACATGTTGAAGTAACTGAATTCTGGTCAGCATGAACGATCTATTTCCATTTCAGAATTATCCATTTCCATATCCTTTCATTGTGCTCTGAATATTGAAAATTGCAAGAGAAGCCTGCAGTACTGAACCATATCTAACTATGGAATTAAACCAGTATAACGTTTTCTCCTGCATTTCTCTGGTTTGCAATAACAAATACATGAGAATCACATTTTGCTACCCATACATGCAATACAAAAGCCATAAATCTGAGGAAGTAAATTAATCTGAACTGAAAAACTTTCACCCAGTTATGCCATTCACATTCCTCCTGGCTGCTAAAGGACTTTATATAACATAAAAATGAAAATGAGATTCTGCCAGTTTCGCAGCTCCAGGAATTTAAAAGAACATAAAAGAAAATATTTTAGGACCTTTCATTCCATAGCTTTAAGTGGCAGTATAATCTTAATTGTTCTGATTAGACAACTTAGAGAAAAGGTGATTAGAAAAATAAAGACTCAAAGTTACTCTGTCTCTGTTCCCTTCCGCCTCTACCCCCCTTTCCCTCCCCCCAGAATCTAACACAAAGCATGGTTAGATTTGCAATTAACTTCAGGATGAAATGTGAAAATTTGTTACATAGGGAAGAAATTGCTGTATAACGAACATTTCTCACATTGGCAGCTTTTTTGCAGAGTGGTAAGATTATAGGTAAACATTTTGAAAAGCTGATTTTCTTTTATGTTCATCTTAATCAAATTAAGTTTCAATTTAAAAGACAACCTACAACATGCTAAGAAAAGCTGCATAAAGCGTCTGTCAGAGAATGGGATGCATTGCTGCAGGAGGGTTATGCCCGCTTCAGAAGTTCTGTGCCATTTGCTGCCTGTGCAAACAGCACCAATGGTTATGCACAGCAGAAGCTGCAAGTCAAAAGCTCTGGGGTGAACATGTTTATAGAATTTTGGTTGCATTGTACAAAAGAAAACAGCTCTGGCTAGGGGCGGGGAGGCAGCTGCACAAGCAAAAATATAAAGGTAAAGGGTAGGTACCAAGAGAGTCATGTTTCTCAAACACAGACGCCTGTCAGCCTTGTCCTGTGGAGAGGGGTTAAAGCTTTTAAATGAATTGGTGTGATTAGTGCAACTTAAAAGAAAAAAAGGAGAAAATAAAATGAATGTAAACCAAACCAAAATCATTATATTTCTCTATAATTGGAAAGAAAGGTTAAGATTGTTCTACCTCTAGTTCCCTCAGAATTCCTGACTGGCCACAGGTCTCTAAATCCTCCAGAGCCTGAGACCAGAAATTTTCCTCCTGGTCAGCCTCGGTGTTATCATGGGTACCTGTGAAGCTAGATTTACAATGAGAGGTTAAAAAACACGTGGACTTTTTTCCCCTCGAAAAATATATTTTACACATGTGCCTTGCCACAGATTGCAACTTGAATGACAGAACGTTACGGTAGGTAGGCAGGAGAGTGGGGAAGAGTTGCTGATCAGGAGAGGCTGGATGGACATGCAGAGCACATGACAGACAAGTCTTCTCATAGCCTGGCAGTCGCTAGCAGCTGGCAGGATCTGAGTAGCGAGTTATTCAGTAAGGATTCCGAGAACAATTCAATACACATTTTTACTGGATTGAAACTGGGATGTCCCTATGAAAATTAATGAACAACCAGTAGCTGTATGCAGAGCTGCACTGTGCAACAAGTATTTGCAATAAAACCTTTCAACCTCACAGACTTCTCCCAGGGAATACGAAAAGAGCCCTCATTTTTGCAAACAGCATTTTGCAGAAGAGGGATGGTGGTGTTTTTTACCTGATTCCTTCAGCCTAAGCTGCATTTATCAGTATCAGTTTAAGCCCACCTGACTGCCATCATATAAACTGCTCCAGTCATTTCATACACAAACACAGAGAAACTTTCAGGGATGCAACTGTCTTGCATGGAGACTCGGGTCTCTGGTGTTTCATAAACACACCGAAACCTTATTACTAGCACTCTGGAGCAAGATGCTGATGACAGTGATGCTTAGGGAAGTTGCCCAGCAAGAAAGGTCTGATAAAAAACGCCAACTCTGGACTGCAGCAACACAGCCCAAAGCAACACCATTCCAGTGTATGTGTGCGTGGGGAGGAAGCAGGAGTTTTCCGCTGTCTTAGCAAGGGGAATCAGCTCAATGGAGGTTCACACAAGCGTCAGAGCTGCTGCACGGGAGGGGGCTGATTATGTGAAAGACAGGGGAAGGATGAGGAAGGAAAGGATGAGAATTTGCTCTTTTGGTGGCAGCAAGCTGTTACTTTGGAGCAGCTGCCCACCGACTGCAGCTAGTGGTGCTTAACAGCACATAAACAGAGCAAACACTATTATGGAAGCATCTGAGGCCTTGCTTGACAAACAATGTATTACTGAGAATAGCGTGAATGTAACACTGTTAACAGAATAGCTTTTAAATAGGAGAATTGCCCAGCACAACGGACGACAGCTTGAATGCTTCACACACATGATACTCTGCCTCAGAGATGCTTTCTTACAGTTACGATCAGTCAAGCAGACAATGGTCAGCCATTTCAATCTCTTATTGCAATGATTCTCCATCTAGCATCAGTGTCTCTTCTAAGATATTGCAATAGATACAGCAATGGTGAGAATACCTACTCAGATCACAGATGCAATTCCTCCCAGGCAAGATAAGAAAGTATTTAAAACATGATTTTAGAAAGATCCTTGACTTCTTTTCAATAAACCTAAATAGTTGTTTTAATAGCCAACATTGAACATAGACTAATTCATCCATTAAAATACCTTTCTTTATATTCCATACCAATATTACAATATAAAATAGGACTTGAGTTAATGAACAGGATTATTTGAGGCAATCGTCTGTGATGGGAAACACTAGATTTCCTAGGACTGGAGATCCATTTCTGCTCTGACTTCTGTGAAATCTGACATCATGATGCCTATATGTCTGGACATCTTTTTAGCTGAAGCAACTCAATTCCTTTTTCTGCCCTCACCTTCTCTTTTGCCTTTTCTCTGAGTCTTGTCTCCTGGTGTGTGAAACGCTCGACTTCTGCATCTCCATTACAGCCACGTGAATAAACTGGTTTGTAGCTGAGCTACTGCACCAGAAAAAAAGACGTACCAAAATAATTTCTTGTTTAGATGGCTTTTTTTTCTGAAACCTGAGAGATTGATTTTATGTCATGTGAAATATTGTTTGACCTATAATGAATATATTTGGTTTTCTGATGCTTATTCAAAGAGCCATCAGAAATTTAGATGCATACAAATGCTGAAGGAGAGGTAGTGGGACAGATACGAAAACACAGGTGCCTATTACTTGGTTCTTATTGCCATATGAGAGACAATTTTTTTTTTTTTTTTTTTTTTTTTTTTAAATTCAGGAGGTGATAGGATGTTCTAGGATCTAGCAGACTCATTCCTGTACTTATTGTTTTAATGTGCAAAAAATTTTCCCTGGAGTAGGAACTATAACAGACTTGTCACACCTGCCAGTGATAGGTAGACACCAAGCTACAGAGCGATTTAAACTCTGGTTTCATTCACTTGCCAACTGAAATTTCGTTGTCGCTCAATCCGTGTTAATGATGTGTTTTCTGCTTTTACCCTGTTTTTCTCCTTTTTCTCATTTCAACTGTTTTTCCTTTTTTCCCTCTTCCCCCCGCCCCTCCCACCCCCACCTCAGCCCAGCTGGATCTCACTCCTGTGCACCTGTCGTTCTCCTACCTGGAAGTGTTCCACTCTTCCAGCTCTCCCCCACCTTTCCTTTGCCCACCAGAGGCACCCTTCCACATCTTGCCCTCTTTCTTCATGCTCCTGATGTCTCCCCCTGCTCTTTCTACAGAAGTTTGCTTTAACTGGTTTTCTCGGTTCTCTCCCAATGTCTCAGTCTCCTTCTGTTGCCACATATTCTTGGAAGCTGTGCTACACAAAATAAAGGTAAGAAAAAATTACTTTTTAGTGTTAGAGAAGGTGGTAAGTTGCTTAGGTAGAGGCAGAGAAGAGGTGGTTTTCTGGGGATCCCTGTAACAGACTGGAAGAACAGACATGCCCTTCTCAAATACGCCAGCACTTGGTATAGGAACACCATCAGGTGGGGCATAAGCCATTTTACAGATATGGGGTTAAAATAGTCGTTATTTTAATTTGTGCCATGTATCTCAGGTTTAAGTCACATTGACAAGTAGAACAAGACTCTTTACTGTGCATACTTTCTGTTGAATGGTGCTTTAAAATTGTAGCAGAATACATGCTTTTCATTTAGAAGATTCTGTATTTTACAATCCAGCTTCCTGGTTCACTGCTCATCAACTTTTTCAGCTTATTACTTATGTAACTGTGTCCTGGTTTCGGCTGGAATGAAGTTAATTTTCTTCCTAGTAGCTGGTATAGTGCTGTGTTTTGGATTTAGAATGAGAATAATGTTGATAACACACTGATGTTTCAGTTGTTGCTAAGCAGTGTTTATATTAAGTCAAGGATTTTTCAGCTTCTCACACTGCCCTGCCAGCAGAGGCTGGGGGTGCACAAGAAGTGGGGAGGGGACACAGCTGGCCCGAACAAGCCAAAGGGATATTCCAGACCATATGACGTCATGGCCAGTATATAAACTGGAGAAGTTGGCTGGGGGACACTGTGGCTCGGGGATTGGCTGGGCACTGGTCAGCGAGTGGCGAGTAACTGCATTGTGCATCACTTGTTTTGTATACTCTATTATTATTATGTTCCCATCCTTTTCTGTCCTGTTAAACTGTCTTTATCTCAGCCCATGAGTTTTACTTTATTTTTCCGATCCTCTCTCCCATTGCACTGGGGGTGGGAGGTGGGGGGAGTGAGCAAATGGCTGGATGGTGCTTAGATGCCGGCTGGGGTTAAACCACAACAAGCTGCAAAACAGTAGGTGTTCTGGAATCTATGGCTGCATCTCATCTGAGAAACAAAATATGGGCTTTAACTGTGGTAAAGATGCTGCTATGAAATGAAAGGAATTAACTTACCAAGAATGGGACATATGAAGAAAACTACGGTCATTTCCCTTATTAAATATTGTCCACTGACTAGCCTATGAAAACTTCCAGTATGCTTCTGGCTAGTAGGTACCAAAGGAGCTGGATATGGACTAGGAGTTCATACTTGCCCAGATCTTTGCTATCATCTTGCCAGACTTGTCTCCAGACAAAATGCCACTGAGCAATCTGCTGTATCAGAGGATTTTTCATTCAGATTCTGAAAAGCAGCATTGGCATCTAAGCTTTCCCTTGATTTGTATTTCAAAGGTAACAGACTGGATCTTATGGATTTACTTATGCAGTATGTTTATACAGGGACCAGAAAGGTTTTCTTTAGTACTAAACTTGAATTTCTCACAAGAAAGTATATTTCTGATGAAGGACATGCGTGCCTGCAAGCCCTGAGGATGGGTACAAAGAGCACAGAAATCTTTGTAACTGTGATGTCTGTCTTCCCTTGTCTGAGGAAGAACTGTTCTTTGGCAGGAATCACCCAAGTCTCTGCAGTGGTTCCACTGCTGGATCATCCTTAGAATACAGAATAAAAGACTTTTGGGTCTTTCACTGTCTCCAAGCACTGTCAGCTAAGCATTTTTCCCTCAGGAAGTTCTTTTGTCTGCAGAGAAATTCATTGAAAAGGAGATTTAATTCTCAGAAGAAGAGGAATGAACGCATGGCAAACTATCATAGCTTTGGACAAGACATTTCTACCTGGATCACTCTGTTCTCCTACTGAATCACTGCAGATGTCTCAAGCATTTATGGAAGACGACTGTAATTTCTGCTTCTTTGCCCAAACCAAAAAGAGTAATTTTCATGGAAGACAAAAGACTAACATGCCAGTTGTCTTTAGCCACTTTATTTGTAGGTTTATTTCTGTGGAGTAGAAAACAGGAGGTTTTTTTCTGAAGCCTACCCAGGGGAATGCCCTAATTTTTTTGTTTGTTTATTCTTAATAATAAATGCTGTGGGTTTTTTGTCTGAAGTAACTCAAAATAAATATATATGTCTTGGTTTTGGCATCATAATCTTCCATAAATGTCACTAATCTACCCTAATAAGTTTCATGAAGTATAAATACTATATCTCATATTTATAGGAAGAGCTGTTGCAGCTGCATTGGAAAAACATAATTTCATTTGAGACAGTAACTGTTCATTTTTGAGGCACTGCTGCAGCTGCAAATCAGAAACACAGAAACTCATATGGGAACTTACCTGCTTGGTGGAGGTCGGTCCCATTCGTCTTCGCTCAGCCCTGTATCGTGAAATGGGTGGTTTCGTGGTTTGCTTGGAGGGGACAAACTAGTCTGTTTGGGACTCCTCCATTCATAGGTATTGAAGTTGTATCCCGAAGCCTGATAGGTGTGTCCTAAAAAGAAAAATTATATATTTACAGCACTGCATATGTTGTAATGACAGAAAAGCACATTTCTGAAGCTGGGTTCTCTAGAACTTGGCTGTGGACTCATGATTGCTACCTTTTTTCGCAGTAGTAGTCAGATTATTGATGACCTAAATTATACCTGGAATAAGGTATGCTTTAGAGCTTCTCCTGTGAAAGTCCATTGAAAGCAAAATCTTAAATATATTTAACACTGTTCTCCTACTGTTTATGTCTCAGCTGCTTCTAATGTTTAGTTCTAGACACCTTCACAATTTAATCACTGTCCAATGTGACACCACACATTGAACAGTAGTGAATAAATTATGTTATGGATGTGTTAAATATGTGCCAATGTGGTCATGTGCGGCACGCCCAAAATTAAACCTAAGCTATTAAGAAAACTGCACTTCCGACCTCTTGAAAAAAGAGTTTTCAAGGATGCATTAAAAAAAACCATCAACTTGACTTTTCAGATGACTAGCAAGAAAGTTTTTTCTTTCTCCTGGTAACTTTCTCAAATTTGGAAGCAATGCAGCCAAAAATTAGTGACATATTAGTGTCAATTATGCACAATACTACCGGTCTACAGAACGGCTACCTAGATGCAGAAGTTGGCACGGTACAGAGGCTCTCGAGTGAGCATTAACTGGAGGAATGCCAGAAGAGGAAGGAGGGCGGCTGTCTCTTTCTCGGCACCGCCGAGGCAAGGACTCATCAATACAAAGGTGACCCTGCGCTGTCACAGCCCTGCACAGCCCCGCAGAAAGGCCAGCACGGGAATCTCCATACCCGTGCCCCTTGGTGGAAGGGGGACTGGCACTCAGCAGAGCTCCTGCTTTCTGCTAGGGCTCCGAGAGCTGACGAACGGCCTGTCTCACGATGGGCACACGTGCCCGGGACCAATATACGCCCTTGGAAAGCTCACCTTGCAGAAAGTGATTTCTCTATCAGCCATTTCCAAATATCTCAAGGCTGCCTAAGTGGCATCAGACAGCCTTTATATCTGAAGAGTTTATTTCTGGGTGCTTTTATCATACAAGCAATGTTGATATTAGTTCAACAGTATTTCTTTAACTGAATTACGTGTAATTTGAATTCCAAGTAGGAACCAGACAGTCTGGCTTCCAAGTGATGTATCAAGAAGAACACGTGGATCGACTTGTCACAGTCTGATGCTGATCTGGTAAGCAAAATCCATTATGGTAGAGCTGATATATATATATATATTTCATCTTGACATATTCCTTTTCTAGCTCTACAGTTGGTGTTTTCTGATGTGCATATTGGATTAGGAAGTTCTATTTTGTTGATGACTAACAAATATCACTGCTGTCACCTCTCAAAAGAGGGCAATTTGCTTCCATAAATCAGTCTAGACCTGTCTCCCTCAAATCCCACGTAACTACAGAGTCGTGTGCGTTTTCTAGCTAATTGGCAGACATTAACATACTCCCAGATTCTAGAAAGGGTTTTGGTTGTGAAAATGTGACTGCTGTGTGGGGAAGGCTCCGGATTAGTAAGGCAGACACATTAGACAAAGGTACAAAATGGGGTATTAATTCAAGGAGAGAAAAGACTGCTCACCAGCATTAAATTAGTAACTAATAGGATAAAGCATTATCTGGTGCTCCAGAAACATTCCCCAAACTCCTCAATATGCTTGGCCTGTGCTTATGCCAAGAATGGTTTGGAGAGAAGCCAAACTCCACTTGACAGGTCAAGACAGAATGAACTTTAATAGAAATCTGGGTCACATTAGTACCACAGCAAGGGATAAGGCACAAATCTGATTACACTCAGGCTGTTTAGCACAAGTGCCATGTATCCAGCCAAGTCTGGGCTGATTTTTTCAAGGCAGTTAGGAAAAAAGTCTGCTTTGAGATACTGGTTTAGTTTTGGTGTAGCATCCGAATCATCAGGACTTTGGAAAGCAGTCTGGGCCTCAGTCCTTTCCACAGCAGAACAATTTGCTCCAAATATCATCAATTCATCCAGGAAATGAGAACTATAATTTTGGCACTTTTTCAGCAATATTTCTCCTTAGAACTTCAAAATATCAGAAGAAAATATAACATGATTTATTTTGATAAACTGACCAAACCAGTTAAAAACCGAAAAGGGGACAAATTAATCCCAACTCTAACTCCAGTGAAATACAAATTATACAGAGGGAATATAGACCAATACATTCAGTACTAAATAAAATATTATATGTAGCAGTAAATTAAAAGTAAAACGTAGAAAATGGGAGTTATAATTAAATGTGTTGAGACTGTCTTGTTTAAAGTAAGTTGACGCCAAACATATGCAGTAAGGCTAAGAAATACTTAAAAATTAAAGAACAGAAAAAGTGGCCACTAGTAGTGACATCAGTTACTTCTTGATCTCAAGTAGCTCAGCACGTTTCAAAGGAAACATTCTGCTTTCCAGAAGAAAGCGCCAGTGTTATCACTGAGCAGGCACATTAGAGAATAGCAGTGAAAGTAACCAGCACAGAACTTCAGTCTAGATGGGAAATCTGCTGGGCAGAGCTCAGTTTCAGTTCTCTGTGAGAGTACAAAACAGCTGTCCGTGAGCTACTACCCATGCTCCTGGAAAGCAATAGAAAGAAACAGAGAAATAAAATTGAAAGAATGTGTGCAACCAGAGCAAGAAAAAATTATTTGAGGTAAAGATCTACCTGTCCAAATACCTGCCAGGTAGTGGGAATACCTGCTTTACTATGGAAATAAACATTTTAAAGAGAGTTAAATAATACACTGAAGCTGTGCAGAAGTTATTTTTCTTGTTATCTACAACACTACAAGACGTCCATATCCCCAACTGCCTAATAAATGTGTCTTACAAATTAAAATGCGATTATCTGAAAATCTTATATAAAACAATAGCCAAGCAGAAGTAGAAAATTTAGTGTTTAGGAAAATCATGTCTTTAAATAGAATGATTGTTTTTGAGAGCTGAAAGTTAGATGTTAATCCTGCAGGAATGAGGAAGAAGCAAATGATTTACAAATCATAAGCAATGCCTAACGTTCCTGCTTCAGCAGTTTATAATAAATCTGTTGTCAGTCAAAAATTACTGCACATGGACATCAAATTCCTGAAAATCTTCAGTGTGTTCTGTGTCTTGCATTTATCTGTATTTGAAGGATAAACTCATTTAGTTGCGGATGAGCTATGGACCTGGCTATTCAGATGTCAGTAAAGCTAACAAAAGCCTGTTAATATATTGCTAAATGCTTCATAACACATCACATTGTCATGAAAAAATGAATCTGAGGCCAGCCAAGTGTAAGAAATCATGCTGCCTGGTGAGGTGTGTGGTCATAATAAGACACCGGCACATTACAAAGCACAGGGTTTAAAGTTGGTACAGATGAAGTTCTCTTTAAGGCAAAGGAAGGTCAGCCATGAAGGTGATAATTTCTACTTTAAATGTTGATTGCATTCTTGATAGTACCTTGATTTCCAAAGCCGGTATCAATACCAGAGCCATCCCATGACTCTACCGCACTGTCAACACTTGGGACTGTAGTGGAATAGATGTCTGAGAGTTTGCCAGATTTCTGTGCAGCAGAGGTTTCATCTTCAGCATCACTCAGTTCACTTATGTGACCCACAGGGACAGAAAATTTCTTGGGACTGGTAGCTGAATAGGATTATAAAAAAAAAAAAACCAATGGGGTGGTGGTCATTGCTTTACTGCAGTTCTAAGAATATGCTTTTTATTACTGACATGACGTTTTTCCAGGGATGGACTAAATGCTTGTTAATCTGTAACAACACATGCATTAAAGACCACTGATGCTGCCCCTGGCCATACTCACCATCTGTCTGCTTCTTGATTTTCAAGGTGACAGTTTCTCCTGCCATCTGTAATAAATGAATGGCTTCACTCAAAGGTTTTCCTTTCAGACTGCTACTGTTTATTGCTAGGATTCTGTCTCCTATGTGAATTGCCCCAGTCCTACAATAAGAGAGAGAAGTAAAACATTGAGAGCATAAAAAACAACAAAGGCATGAAAGTCTCATCTCCCTTTCTTTCTTTCATTTTGCTTTTATAGCTGTGTTACAGAGTAATTATTTGTTAGAAAGGCTTAAAGCAAGTCACCTTTGTTGTAGTGACAATAGCAGAGCGGAGGCATGGAAATGTGGATTTCTGCGTTACTGCGGTAGTTGAGTTAATCACCTATGGATGATACTCATTGCAGCCCACCTGTTTAAGAGCAATCTCAGACAGCTCAGTATGTTCTGAAATGAGTCAAGTTTCTAGAAGTCTCACAACATAACAGATAATGGCAGTGTGAGCAAGTAACCAGCTATTTCACCAACATGGCGTTCAGGATGGATCATATCAAGAGAAGAAAATAAATTCTCTTTGTGTAAATGCACTGTTTGGTCTGGCTGTGCACAGTATCATGTTTTGCGTGCTCTAAGTTCTCTCTGAAACCACCACCAAAGGTACCACAGTTGGAATGACTCTACCTATCTTAGAAATAACAGGTGATAGAAAACCTTAGCGTTTTCATTATTCTCTATCCATCAGTTACTATGAGGAGCATTTCTACTCCTTGGATAATGCTTGCTATGGTGTATGTAAGTGCACATACAGATGCAGTGTGTGTATATAAGTGGCAGATAAGTATACAGTTAAGTTCAGATAAACTTAGACACGTGAAGTGCTTTCCTTACCTATTGTACTATACAAGGCTATTGCTTTTAAAAGGCTGCTAAAGTGTTGCTGTGACTGAGCAGTTTGACTGACTAGTCTTTCCTAGGTGATTTATAGTAAGGACCACAATCCTCTGCTCTGTCTTGCATAGTATGTGCAAGAACATCCTGTTAAGATATTGCTCATGCTCCTGAACTTGGCAATGATCAAAAAACAACAGCAAAAAGTATATAAACTCAGATTTGGAGAATTATAAAAACACAAATTGCTAAACCATGAAAATTAGCATCTTCATGTAAACAAAATAAAGATTTATCTTGACAAAAAGAATGTTTAAAAATAATTTGCTTTCCAATTTACCTTTCAGCTAATCCTCCTTTTGTAAGGCTGGAAATGATTATGGGATCAAAAGGCTCCTCAGTACCAGAGATTGTAATTCCAAGAGGCCCACCATAGCGCTTGAGCTCAACAGTATAAATAATTGCTCCAGAGCTCTCTTGTTCATCTGCAATAAATGCCAAGGGGATGCAATTGGTTTCTTATGAAAGAGGGAATGAAAAAAAATAGCATATTCAGTCTAGTGACTCGTAATCAAACAACATTTTCAAAAGGATTACATTTCAGATACACTTCTTAATCATATTCTACTGGATTATTTTGAAAACAAAAAACCAAACCCAAACACCACCCCTCCCCCCAATTTCTCTCTTGTGCAATTTCTTTTTTATTGCCAAAGCCTGATTACACTGAAGTCAATAGAAAAACTCCCCTCATTCTATTAAGACTACATTTTACTCCATTTAAAATCTTTGTATCTTCTTTCCTATTAAAATATAACTTCAGGCTATTTTGTTACAGAATCAGAGGATGACTGAGGTTGGAAGGGACCTCTGGATGTCATCTTGTCCAACCCCCTGCCCAAGCAGGGCCACCAGGATCAGGCTGCCCACGACCGTGTCCAGACGGCTTTTGAATGTCTCCGAGGATGGAGACTCCACAACCTCTCTGGAAACCTGTGCCAGTGCTCGGTCACCCTCACGGTGAAAAAGTGTTTCCTCACGTTCAGAGGGAACCTCCCATGTTTCAGTTTGTGCCCATGGCCTCTGGTCCTGTCGCTGGGCACCGCTGAAGAAAGCCTGGCTCCCTCTGCTTCAGATAGTTATACACCTTGGTAAGATCCCCCTGAGCCTTCTCTTCCCCAGGCTGAACAGTCCCAGCTCTCTCAGCCTTTCCCCACAGGAGAGATGCTCGAGCCCCTTCATCATCTTTGTGGCCCTTCGCCGGACCCGCTGCAGTACGTGCCTGTCTGGGTTGTACTGGGGAGCCCCGGACTGGACCCAGCACTCCCGCTGTGTCTCCCAGGGCTGAGCAGAGGGGAAGGATCACCTCCCTCGACCGGCTGGCAGCGCTCTGCCTGATGCAGCCCAGCAGGCTGTTTTGGCCGCCTTCGCCCCAAGGGCACATTATTAGGGAACAGACAAGTTACTACTATTGTATAAATACTGGTACTCATCTGTTTCTTGAAATGCATAGAAGGTATTTAGAATCAAAGATAATTCAAAAGTTTTAAAACCAAACTTCCTTAAAAGAATTGTGGGAAATGTCAAAAGTCATGATAAGATGAACAGCTGTCTCCCTAAGAGAATCTGAAATATATCCCATGTTTTTGATGGACAAGTTTTAAGCTTTTGTAACGGAATTAAAAATAGCTTCTGAATTATCAACTAAGTTGAATAATAACTCTATTAGATTTGATTTCATTATATTGCATGAAGTCATTTGCATTATTTTGAAATTTTAAGTCTCACCAAACAATCATCAGAAACGGAGAATAATTCATCACCAGGAAAGCTTAAATACAATGTATTTTCCTTAAACAATACCCAACAGGTGTTGCAGCAATAAGAAAGGCTCCTGTGTTTATACAGTGCATGCTCTTTACATATTATAAAAAAAAAAATCACAGCAGGAGAGCAATCAACTCCAGTATCTTTGAGTTGTGAAGGGATATTTTAAAATCTAAAATGCCAGATTTCTCCTCAGATCAAAATAACAAATGCTCCCTTGCCCATCTTATGATATTGGTATTCAGCCAGGATGTCTGGCCTGGCAGGCAACTTTTCCTAGATCTGTGGGTAATGACATTTCAAACAGCTCAGCGAGTGTGGAAAATGTCTAGGACGCACATTCCATAAATGTTACTAGAACTAACCTGAGACAAGTTAGAAAATTCAAATGTTCCCATTTCTGTTCCTGTAGATAGAAAAACTTTAAAAGGAAAAAAGATACCTGTTTTGCTAGCAAAGCTTCAAAGAGTTGCTTTCTTCTAATGCTGAACATAGTACTTAAGCAGAGCTGGAGAAACACTAGTATCTTTGGAGCTACTTTGTTTCTTCCCAATTTGCAGAAAATGTGGGACTTTAGCTCCCCAGCTCTCTCCTATTTTCCCCTTGCTATCCACATAAAGAAAACAGTGCACATAGAGAACCAAAGGAGAGAAGAATTAGTGGTGTTTATTCCGCAAAGAATACTGGGATTTTCATGCCTAGCGTGGGCCGTATATTCCTACGTGGGGCATTATCATCAGTGTTTTGGCACAGTCCACATCAACTACGCTTTATCCGACATGCTCTTTCCAGAAGCGCCCAACTCCCAAGACCCCACTGGAAGCCTCTGGCCGGCACACAGCGGGTAGCACATCAGCTGCCACCGCACCGCAGAGGAGTGGCAGCTCTTGCTTGCTTGCTGGAGCATTTACGGAACAACGACAAATCCTCTGGGATCTAACGCTGATAACGTTTACACAGGTGTGGCATTGACACCGTACAAGACTTCAACTGAAGGATGAAAAGTAATCCACCAAGCTAATTGAAAATCTAACAGCCAGTATTTGCTAAGGGCCGACACAATCCTGACGTTTCTCCGCTATCAACAATGAGTGAGTAAGAAGTTATTAATCATACAGCAGCCCTGCCACATGAGAGTTGGAAGTTTATAGATCTTAGTGAATGACTGGAAAAGGAGACTGGTCCATTATGTCTGTCTTCTGGTTAGCCCTAGTTAAGAAAATTAATGGCAGGCTGCAACACATGTCAAATTGCTACACTGTTCTCTTCAGCGCTCTTTCCAGGCAGCAGAAATGTGAGCTATGTGAGAACACGGCATGCATGTGGCCTGAATTCCAATGAAGGCCAGTTTTGCCATGAAAGCAAAGAACTCGGATATTCAAAAAAAGAGTGGTAGCCATTAGGTCAATCAGGAAATAAAACTGTCCTCAGTTTGGGAAGCTGGCAAAAAAAAAAAAAGATGAGAAAAACTGCTCATCAGGAAATACAATCAAACCACCATGGTTTTGGGTCTCATGTTTTTGAGAGTCTCCTTCTTTCTTTTGTGTTGCAATTGCGGATAGTTCTAGGAAACCACATTTAATAAAGCAGACCCTCTGTGCTGCAGCACCTCTGCTCTGTCCGCTAGTCTCTTGCTCTTCAGAGTAACATCTGATCAATACAGACAAAAAGGCAAAGAAGAGGATGGTCTGGGGAGCACGTAACATACTACTCTGCTGCTGGCCTCACCTGCACGGCTGGCTCTGAGAACACAGCTCTGAGACACATACAACTGTCTGGAGAAGGGAGGAGTTGGAGAGTCAGCAGAGGAAGAAAAAACGGAAGGCAGAAAGAAGAGCTAGAAGCTAGAAATACTTAAAAATTAATATAAAAAGAAAGAGTTTGAAAGACAGTGAGGAAATGAGAACCTAGGGAGGAAGAACCCCTGCTTCCTGCCTTCACCTCCTGAAAAAAGCATGCCATGAGAAATCAGAAAAAGTTTAAATCTTAATCTCATTCTGTGATTTAGAAATTGTTTTGGAGTGCTGCACGCCTACTCATCTATTAGCATCAGGCTTTCCTTTTCTTGGGGAATTTATTAACGATTTTTTTCTGTTGAGTTTGAGAAGCACACTTCTTCCCTTTGTGAGAAAACAGACTTTTATAAATAAACTAATGGCAAATAAACAAAAATTTATCTTAATTGAGGTACACTTTTTGCTATGCCTTTGCTACTGTTTCGCCACTGGTTTTTAAAGAATTTTTTCTTTAGCATTTCAGGAGACATTAATTTTAGATTTCAAAGTACCTGAAATCTGCTATAAATACTTTCAATTACACTTTGGCACTTAACTGCTACAAGAACCATTTGTATAGAGAATTTTGTTCAGTAGGTCTCTGAGTAGCTGTCCGTTTACATTTGAATCTGTTCAGTTACACCAATCGTGTCTGGATAAGACGCTGTACTTGTGTGAGAATCTCGATATAGATATATGATGTAACTGTAAAATAAGCAATGTGAATGTATAAAAGAAAACCATGGAATAAGAATCCCACTCAGACTAAAATCTGTACCAGCTACCATGGTGTGCAATACCTAGGAGAGCAAAGATGTTACTTTACATGAGGGGAGACCGAAATCCACATTTCAGTAATAGCAACAGAAAATGTGTACCAACTTCAATGGAAATGGAAGCTGTCCTAGAAAAAGATTAAGTCCATAAGATGAGGGGGAGCGGGGAGACGACATGACACACACAAGACAAACCCACAAATGCTTGAAAGTGTGTGAGAAGTTACTACTTCTTCTACATGGCTTTAACTCACTCCCCTCTTCTATGGTCTGTTGGTAACTTCTCTGCAGAGAGAATGAGAAGGAGTCTTCCAAATGAGGGGAAGAAGATGAAGGAGGGATCCTAGGTGCCACGAACACTTAAAAGATAGACCCCCTCTTGTGTAGGGGAAAACTCAAACTTCCTTCTACAGGCGTTTTTCCTGGCAATCTTCTGCCAAGTGCAGCTGCAGTTTGCCCTTCGTAATATGCCTGCTTTGCTCAGTTTTGCAAAGCAACTGTCAGTCAGGTGTCCTTTTGGATGTACAGCCCACAGCCAGTTTGGCCAGCTTCTGTCCAAGATGGACCAACTATGTGTAGCAAATTCCACCTCACCACTTGCGGAGACCTAACCACAATATCCTGCTGAGCACTGGCCATTCACTTTGCTGTATCAAAATTTACTTCTGAAAGCCAATTTGCACAAGGCACTAAATGCATCCGCCTTTGCTTTGTGCTGATCATAGTGAGAAGATACTTCTGTTTGCTTTCAAAAGCAATTAAAGGAAAAGAGCATTCTAGTGCAATTCGAAATGCCATTTCAACAGTTGCACTCGATTTTAAATAATAAAGGGTGGCAGGCTGTGCCTTTTTGCTGTGAGGTTGTATAGAGCTTACGACAAGTGAATCTACAGTTCATGCTTTTGTGTAATGCTATAATATAAACCCCTGCAGTAATGGTAGTTATAATTGTCTAACTTCCTTTGCCACTAGAATGCATAACAGAACTCGCTTTATTATCTCCAGGCAGAAATTCTGCTCTTACAGAATCCATAATGGGGAAGATCCAGGAATATTAATAGATGTAGGTGTGCAAAATGATGGCAGCTCCATTACTTCCACTGGGCTGATCAGACGTGGCTCCTCCATCTGCCATCCAGCACAGTGTGTAAAGTACTACTTACCTTTAAGCACGTGAACAGTCACACTGAAGTCAAGTTTGTAAGTTTATGGATAAAGCATGCACTTCCCCACCCTGCTGGAGAACTGAGGCCTATGGATCCATGCTTTGCTAACCATGATTCCAATCTCCAAAGCAGAGAAAATCTCAATACGCTGATAAGAGAAAGATCAACCTTACTTGGCTGCACCTGAGGGGAAATTGCCTTTCCAGAAAGCTGAAGACCTCATTTTGCAGTGCAGGTCCTGCAGGCAATATAGCCACTGAGAAAATTCAAAACTTTATACACCATCAAAATTCTTTTTAGTGTGACATTTTCTGATTAGCATTAGCATAAATCAGCCATGTTTAGGAAAAAACAAAAAAATCACTAAAATTTAAATGCAAAATAATAACCCTATGTTCTAAAAATCCTGAAAAACCACAAGAATCTGCAATAGGCTCACTGCTAATACCGGAATTATCTTCATCTTTGCGGATCTTTAACTTTACAAGGTCCTCACAGTGCTGAAGGATCTGGACAGCATCTTCCATTGAGCAATTGTCAAGTCGAATGTTATCTATTGCAAGCAATTTATCACCCAGTTCGAGTGTCCCAGTTCTGTGAACAAGCAAACAAGCTTATATGAAATTCTAGTAACACTAACGCAAGGTATTTTAGAAGGTATGAACATTATTATAGAAATGAGATGGATTTTTTAAAAAGAATTATTTCTTAATAGGCTGGACTTTTCATTTGTAACTGCTTTTTTTTTTAAAAAAAAAAAACACGGTCTCTTTCAACTTCCCTCCATTTAACTTGAGTCTGTCTGGCTACCCAATGGAAACAGATTTTTACTGGGAGCTTGATTGTCTTACCTGTGAGCAACACTTCCTTTCTTGATATCAGAAATAACCAGAGGGTCCCCTGGTTTTCTACTGGATGGAGCTGTAATAAAGAATACATACAAGTATCTGTTTTTATTTCTAGATATGCAGATGGGCTAATTCTGTCCATAAATCAACACTTCATACAAATTATCTACCTGTATTATATTCCTTCCCCTAAATTCTACAGACATGAATACAAACAATCATCATCAGCATATTAGTAAGACTGCATACTCCTCAAAAATTAGAAAATGCCAGAATTAAGGTGACTGATGCAAAGTGAATTTAACCTGATATGTCTGAATCCTGGGTTAGGTCAGGACTGGACCATGCAAAGATACCACTGTACAGCTGCAGTGATCTATCATAAAACGCTGTGTAGCTACAACACATAAGGAAGACTTTCTGTTACTAGAACCTTTCAGCACAACTACTAATGCTGATCTTTTGCCAGAATATTTCTGTCAGTCATAAATCATGTTTTATTACATCCCTGACCAACAGAGCTGCTGTGGCAAAATATCTAGAGTGGGCTAGCCCCACATTCTTTACGTCCACTCCTGTCTCATTCAGTGCTTAAGACAGAGGTATGAAGATAATCCTTCCTGGGTGAGAAGGACGAATCTCCTTCACATTAAATGAGATGCTGTGGATAATGGCCACACACACCATTGGGCTGATACGCAGTTACCACATCTGCACAGATGTACCTTACATCACATGGCTGCTTGCTTCACTATGACTCGCTGCTTCCTCTGAAGTAAACATGTGCCTCCTGCGATGAGTAACCTTGCTCCTCTATACTGCTGCTGAGCCTTAAGCATTGTGGACTTTTCCCCACTTTGTACCGAGCGATACCTACTAGAAGCCCTGCAATTCTAGCAATAGTCAAATTAGTAGAACTCCCACCAGTCCTCTCCACTTCTTGGAGGTATCTGACATAACTTTCAATTTTCTATCTGTCCATCATGGTTAAAAGGATGCTCCACTCTACAGTGCCAGTCATTGCAATTCTCTACTGACTCGTGCAAAAGTATCTGACAAATTTCCCTTGGCCAGGAAATTTGCTTAGCAATTTTGCTTGACTTTTGGTTGCATAGGAAGCAGTTAACTACCCCAGAGGAAGACGATGATGACTACTGACTACCTCCGGAGGACTGTTTCTTGGAGCAGCCTCACTGAATGCATTGTTTTGGAGGGTTCATCCATTTGCTGACAGAGGACTGCGCTGAAGGTCTGATATGGTAAGCAGTGGGTGCAGAACTTGAGGGTGATGAAGGATACAGCTCTAGACAATGGTGCAGCGCCTGCTCTCTGCCGGGAGGAAGCACACCACCTCTGGCTGCTCTGGCCAGGAGGCGGTCCACGTGGTGAGCGCAGGCTGACTTTTGGGACTGCTGTTAACAAAGTGCATGCTAATATTAAAACGTTGCCACGTGGTATAAGGCTCTTGGTTCTCCTGAAAGCACTAACGGTTTTTGCACGTGTAGGGCTCTTCAATGGCCCCAAGCCATTTCTGCTCTGCGTCCTGAGGCCTCTGCACTCATTCACAGAAAGTACTTTTCCATTAGGCTCCAACGCCTAACTGACAATCACCCAAAAAGCTACCCATACTGGAGGATCACCTACAAAATCCTGATGTCAGTTACTTTAGCAGCTCATGATTCTTCTCTTTGATGGAAAATGACAGATCTTCAGCTACAGCAACCGCAAGGTATATTAATAATGACATTTCCAACACAATATTCTAACAGATCTTGTTAACCTTGGTTGCCCTGGATGAGAAAGCCTTTGAATGTCCAAAGGAACTCTTTAAGAGCTGCTAAATAGCCATATTTCAAATGCAGTGTCTTGAAAGTCCAGAAGACAGACGTACAAGGACTTTCAAGAATTTTTAGAAATGTGCCTAAAACACCACGCTTTCAGGAAATGCCTATGTCACAATTTAGAGAACAGCAATTAACTTTTTGCAAGACATGTAATTTTCATAGCTTCTCATACTTTCACACTATCAGGCAACTATATGATAGTTCCATGATTTACTTGAATTCTTTGGGCTTGTTTCACCAATTTGTATCTTATAAAATTGTAAAGTAACACTTTGGCGAACACTTTTTTTTTAAATTCTATGTTTTTACCCTCTGGTTTGCCTTACAAATCTCTGAGGTAATATGCCACCCACTGTACAATGTCTGCAGTTTGAGATTTGAGTACTGCGATAGTTTTTAGGAACCTGCTTTTTAAAAATTACCAGTACTAAAGAAAACAGCCCATTATTGTTCCAAAAAGGAGAGAGAAGGAACCAAAATGGGGGACAAAGCACAGCTCAAAGTGCAAAGCTACAGAGTACATGTGGATGCAAAGGGTATGATATTGTCCACAAAGTTATTACAGTTTCAAACGGAGTAAGTGTGAACCAGCGGTATTTTGTCAGTTATCCTGGTCTATTAATTGTGTGTGGTGGATGAAAGCCTTTTTGCAGGCAGCAAACACAGCTCTGTGTGAAATGAATCCCCCCATGCTGACAAGCCCTTAATAAGCAGTTACACCACACTTTGTTTTACTCTTGCTCAGTGCTCATGACATACTTACTACAAACTATTCAAGTTGTGTTGCAGAGATAAAATCATTAATTTCCTCCTGAACTTTTGTACTGCACATCACCACAGCCTAAGATTGCCTCCCAAACACTAGCGAACAGATGCTGTCCCCAGCAAGAAGATTGAGCACTATTATCCTGATTTTACAGATGGGGAAAGGAAACATAGGAACATTTAGGTCAAAGTATGACAATTTTCAGTGAGCAATTTGAGATACCCATGCCTTTATTTCTCACAATAGTTTGTAGTATATAACAGCTTCTATGTCCACAGCACAGCTACTGGCATTTTCAGCAACAGCTGCAGATGCTCAGCATTTCTTCAAGTGTGACCCCAGGATCAAAATGGTTTCCACAGAAAATCAAGCAGCCACCTGTGGAAAATATATCTCCCCCCTCCCCACCCCATGAAATGACATCTCAGCACAACTCTACTGCAGAGAAAAGGAAAAAAACCCTTATTTCTCCAGGGTAGCATTAAACCATCTTGACCGTGAGATCACCTCCTTTTTCTTTCTGCAATCCTCCACCTCATTCATTATGCAGCCTCCATCCCCTTTGATACACACCACTGTTTCATCTCTCCCCAGAGAGCAGAGAAGCAAGAATGCCAGTGAGAAATGAGTATTTGACCACTTAATTAAAAAAGATATCCTCATGAATTAACGCAAGTTTGAAGTGACACTGTACAGCTTTAAGTCTCCATTTTCGTGTTGCATTTCAGAATTATTTTTGTTTTTAAGCAGCAATTAAAACCAGAGCATCTTACCACTCACCCATGTCCAGCCTTCTTATTCAAGTTCCAGCTTCCCCAACCCCTGATCACACCTCAACCTCAGCCCTCGCTGTCTCCCTGTTATGGCTCTGCGCTCATTTTCTCTCCTTGTCCTATTCTGCTTGTCCACCAAAGATCTCATCTTTCCTCCTCCCCGGTCCAGCTGCTAGTCTATCTAATGCTGAACTTTTGTAGAGACCTTACACAGTCTCTATAATGAAGTACAAGTGGACTGAAGAGTGCATAAAGTTGTACAGATACTAAATTTAGTGTTGCAGCTGGAAGGTTAATCGTTAGCAAGTTGTTTGTTCTCTCTCTTTAAATTACTTTATGATCCCAGGTCTCCGTCCCAGGCCTCTACCCTACTTCTACTAGTAAAGACACACTTCCCCTGCCTATCCCCTGCCACTTGAAAGCAAGTTCAGTGAAGTGTTGTCAGTTTTGTAGATCAGCTGTTCTATTAGTTTCAAAAAACCCTCAGACAACCCTCCTTTCTTATTTCACTGCTAATCCCAAGAAAAAAAACCAATGTGACTTATGCGGATTTTGGGGTGGACTTCTTACCTACCACCCAGCCCAAACTCACTTACTAGGGTCAGCCTGGCTTCAAGTTTTGGAGTTTGATCAAACTCTGAACAAACTGAACAAGCAGAGGAAAATGCTCACGGGATGGAAAATATCTTTTATACAAAGCCAGTTCACTTACCCACAATGGTGGTTAACAGCTCCTAGACTTTTTAAAAATTATGTGACTATTAAAGAGATGAAAGAGCTTTTTAAAATTAGACTGACGTAGCTCTTTCATTTCCCAAGTATTGGTTCACGTGGAGCAGCTGAGAAACCTGCTGATTCTTCAGGCCTTGTCTTGAAAATAATTACTTGGAACATTGCAAAATGAAGTTGAGTTTGCTAGGTGAAATCCCAAAATACACAGAAACATGCTTTAGAAAGTAAATTCTCGTAGTCAATGCTAAATATCTGTAGATATTTACAAAGCTTGTTTCTGATGAAATACAAAAGCAATAAAGCAGACTATAGTATAGCTTCTAGTCAAAATGACTTAGAAAAACTGATGATAGTTTGGGTGAGATTCTGATATTCTTACCAGCTTTGCAGCTTCTTATTCCTTGAGTAGTCCCATTAGCTTCAGAGAGATTATTTATGAAGCAAGGTGCTGCAGTTCATTACCAGTAAGGATATCAGAATCTTACTTAAGAAAGAAAGAAAAGGAGAAAAAAAGAGCTGTTAACTACAATTACCAGACTGTACTAGTAAGTAATTTTCTCGGACATGATTCAATGTATTTAAAAAATATTATTCTATGATAAAGTAAGCAGTGGCACAAAAATTTATCTTAAAAAAAACAACAAAACAAACAACTATATTCCATTACATGGTCTAAAATCAATGTCACTGGCAAATAAATTCAAACAGATTTCAACACTACTAGATGTACTTGAAAAGCCATCCTTCTTCTAGGGAATGTTTCTGTTATAAAAGCATAATCACACACACGGACACTGCTGTGTCATGCTTTATTTGGATGATGTAATTTTAAGAACTGAGACATTCTAATTGCTCCAACCAGGTAACTGGGTGTGAAAATGATGGTATCTGAACCACAAAATTATATATAGTCACTTATATTTGCAAACTGTGAAATAGGCTCTTTATTGAGTGTAAGTAGCTATTAATAGGAAGATTAGACAGATACTGCAGAGATAAGGGAAGGATGACGGGATGATGGAAGTCCAGCATGTGTGCGAAGGCAGCAACGGGCAAGGCCAGTTTACTGTGAGGTAACCGACATGCACCATCCGAACCTCAGTGCTCTGGATTAACATTAACAATGATGCTCATGAAACTTTCTTCTCTATTACTTTCTAGGGGTTTCTGCTATCTAAGGGGATTTTGAAGTTTTTTTGTTTTGCTTTTTTTCTTGCATTAACAAATCTGAAACTAAGAGAAGCTTAGCCTCTTCCCCTATTACATGTCATGTTATTCAAAGACCATGAATCAGCTTAACTGTCTTTAGGGTTGTGTGTCACCTCAGATATGCTTTCAGGTACCTGGCCATAACTCCATGCAGGCACGCTTGGTGTTTATTACCAAGGAAAACAACACAAAGAAAGAGAAATAAATTCGTTTTCCAGGAGGTCTGCCTCCTAACAGCTGACTTAAAAGAACTCTTGGACTTAAAAATAGGCATATGTTCAGGTGCCAACCCGAGGTGAGGCTTACAGTTCCCTTCTGACAAAAAATGTCTGTCTTGTCTGTCAGGTCAGGTCATTTCCTGACTTTCTCATCCAAATCCCAAACTAAACTGGGGATATGGAAAGCAAGACAGACATTTTTCTGTAACGTTTTTATAGAGACAGAACTTCTTACTCACCATTAACTCCACCACCTTGAGAAGAGAGAGGATGAAACAGGTCTCTAGCACTTAAAACAGATCAAGCCCAAAAGTGAATAAACTTGATCTCCTCTGTCACCCCTGTTTAAACCTGGTCACACCACCTCCACTGAGTTTCCCTTAGTATTAATTTTTTAAAAGAAATCATACAGCTTTCTGACAAGATCAGTAATAAATGGCCTGCTAATGTGCTAAAGTGCCCTGACAAAAATTTGACAAAATGAATATAAAACGCTTACATTCTTCACATCACACTCTCATTTAGGAGTTAATTAGGTAGAACAGAGCAAAGCACTGAAAAGCAAGCATGAAATGCAGCAATTCAACACTTCTACCAAGCAAATTTACAAACTTTCAGTTATTAGTATAAAACCTTTAAAATCAAGTAAATAATTAATCCTAGACACATTTCATATACATTAAATACTATTAATAAGTGCGATTATTATATATAACAGATAATTTAATTTAAATATTAAAGATACTGCAGTATACTCAGACGAGCAGAGTTAAGACCAACCAGGCATTGCTCTGATTATAAAAAGCACTAATTTTATAAAGCACTAACTTTTGGAATTAAGTTCGAAGTCAGGAAGGTATGCAAAGTTTGGAAGAGGAGTGCTAAATACTAAATCTCAAGAACATTAGCTTTCCTTTCAAAGTTTACTCCCACAGACAGAAAAAAAGTACAAGATGTCTGAATTCCAAAATGCAGCACAAGTCAAATTACTAGGAAGACCATATTTTTACAATAATCCTGCAAACCATTACCAATCCCAAGAATAACATTTAAATAGAACAGCCTCACTCCAGGTTTTCTCATTTCTCAACATCTTCATTTGCACAAATACAAGGAGACCTATGATTTTGCTTCAAGCATCACATCACATCTTAGAGAGCCCAACAATTACTCATTCAAGTGTGCAACACAAGCAAACAGGCCTGCAGTGTCTCCTATTTATTCCTCAGATGTAATTCTTAGCACTGAGTTTCCTGCTGTACTTTTGATTAACCTTATTTCATTGTGCTGGTAAAAGCTTTGAGAATGTAAGTCAAAGCACAATCTTTCCCCAAGACACATGACTAATTCCAAAGAAAGACTAATAGTCTAAGAAAGGCCACAACCATAAAGGAATGTTAATTCCAACGAGAGCAGATTCTGCACTGTCGTTAAGTACATTAAACACAAGCCCATTAACTTTTATATGGACTGTTCTTCCTTCCATCAAAGGCTGAACTTGGTATGCTGGAGTTTACCTGGTCCAAATTCAGTCCTAACACAGCGTTTACTGTCTGCTCCCCAAATAAATAAGTATAGAAACACTTTGATTTCAAACAACAGTAACAAATACTTTTTGAGAACCAGACTAATGCAGACGCTTGTTATCTTCTTTAGCAATCTCTGAAATCCCGAGCAAAAGGGGATTTTGCTACATGACCTGCACATTTAGGACTGCCCACTAGTTTTACAGATTGAGGATGTATTTTCAGACTCTGGGTTCTGAAGCAGAAAATAACCCCATGTATGTGGATTCTCATGCCTGTGAGAACCCTTGAGTTCAGTGGGGTTCTGTTCAAAAGCCTGTGAGAGACCACGACAGACTTTGCTTTAAACTTCCCAACTATGGAAATACTTTTGCACGGGCCTAATTCTATTGACTTCTTTTTTTTTTTTTTTTTAATAATTTTAATGGGAGTTAAGTATGTGCTACACATGAAGGAATAGGTCAAGCTTTAGGCCTGGCAAACTTCTGGCTTCTTTAACTACTGGAAGGGGAGTATAAATCTGTTACAGAATGGTATTTCATCAGAGACAGAGCACTGCTAATCATCCCTTTCTAGAAAAAGAAGAAAGAAGTTTATACCAAAACAAACATGAGTATATCGCTACAGGACCTACTATCTGCAGATTATCCCATAAATGTGGTCTTAAAAATAAGCACTTTCACTTACAACTTATGGTGATGCCAAGTTCCACATTATGCTTCTTTGGTAGTTTTACATGAAATGTTCCACTGCTTGGTATAACTGATTCTATAAAAAAATATTTAAAATGTTAGATCATTTATAAGGCACAGCAATTCCAAGCGTATGGAACTATACGTGTAAGTTGATGAAATCACATCAGCATCAGAAGCCATGGATGAAACACGGGTGCTGAACTGAAGGAAGCAGGGCATACGACGTATGATTTACACCTCTATTGGTAATTTCACGGTAACTCAATTTTTTTTAAGGTTTAACTGAATTTATGGAGATAGCATGGGCCAGCAGCTGAGACTGCAGGTTTTCAGCTTACACGCAAGTTTTGTGAGCACACGTGAAAATTTTAGTGCTGGCAGATAACTTTTAATTAAAAAGACAGGAGATCCAAGTCTTAAGGATTTCAGGCCTTTGTTGCTGTAGGTCTAACACATTTTTAACTGTCCGCTAAAGTAACTGCCATGGATATTACATCTACTGGGAAGAAAAGGAATCAAAACATCACCAATGGAGAAGTGCCTGGCGCTGACTGAGGCAAAACCCACTTGAACACACAGCACCGTATTTGAATCCTGACTTTTGGCATCACTGCTAGCAAAAGTTTGGGCCTTGGCCTGAAAAGGAGCGACTGAAATTACAGCTATGGAAACATATAAACATACATGTGGCAGAGTAGTCTAACCATAAGCATGAGCCTGCTGTCATGGCACAAATGGGAGGAGCACAAACAAGTCCGGGGACTGAAATGCATGTGACTTCAGGTGTATTTAAATGACTTTCTCATTATTTGGTTTTCTTATTTTTTAATATATCATTTCCTACGCATCTGAATGTACATACTGTATTTGGCGCTTTTTTTTAACATTATACTAGATGTGTGCATACTAAAAGATTATACAGAATTACTCTAGGAATCTTTAGCTGCTTTTGAGATCACGATTTATAACACCATTAACAATAATCACACTATGCAAAACACAGCACATCCAACATTGTCATGACTTCAAAGGAGATACTGTCAGCTGAACACACAAGTCTTAAAAGTTTTTACTATTTACATAGTGGGATAGTGCACATAATGCATACTTCGATTCACACAATTTGTGATTTTATAGGTATATTCTGTATGCTTAAACACCACACAGAATAAAGGAAAGCCATTAGTAATAATGAAGACTCACCAGCAACATTAACAATGATTTTTCTAGCTTCTATTAATTCCATTTTGATTATTTTATCTAGATTGTTGGTTTGAGATACTGTAAGTGAAACTTTTCAGAGTTTTCTGCTTATCCATCCTTTTATAATACTTTTCTGTCTAGTAAAACATTTCATTAGCTGGCCTGTAGAGGATTTGTCTCTGCTCAGCAGAATATTTCTATCTCAGGGCAGAAAAATGTCTGGAAATAACTCAGAGAAGGGACTGTCACCAGATCTTACTACAGGAATTGTCATTTCTATTTGTGTTCTGAAGTATGCTGCAGGGCTACGTGAAATGGGAAAGCTGTACAAGGAGACACATGTTTCAAACAGGTCACTTGAAAACTGAATGGTGCATATGTGAGAAGGAAGTCTCCACCTTGGACGCCTAACACTTGCAATGTGCTTGGGATTTATTCCTTCGCTTTCTTGCAAGACAGAATAACAGTACATTCATACCTGCAACATCAAATTCTATTTCCAAAGTGACCTTGTTGGTGATAGAGGAGTCTCTGAGCAGTTGATTGGCCTCATCAAATGTGCTGTCTTCCGTCGGGACACCGTTTATTGACACTATTCTGTCTCCTATTTGCAGCACCCCACACCTTGGTACACAATGATACAAAACAACCATCAGATGTGCACGTTACCAGAACCAGCAATATCAAACACAATCAGCCTAACCTTGAAGGAGAAGTGTGGCATAGCAGCTCAACAGCCTACCCAGGCACAGAGGGGGACAGAAACTGCTGCTGCCCCTTTGCACCAAGACACTATCAAGCACTCCCAGCACGGGTCGTGCTCTCTAGGTGCTGGGACCCAAGAAGAGGGGCACAGCCTTCATGACTCCATCTCACCCATGGACATCACCTCTGCCTCCGACCCTGGGCTACAGGTGGTGTAGCTCTTCAGTGGCAGCTAGTACTTGCCTGTGCAACTACTACTGTCCTCATGCCATGCTTGAAGACATACATAAGCATAAAAATGCAACTGAAATGCTGCAATGAAATCATAAGTAAGTCAAAACTCTGGTATTCCTTAAGATTTGGTTCTGTACCAAAACTGAACAGAGCTGGATATGCCCCATGGCACCCTGAATTATCACTATTTTGACTTCAGCAATATTTCTGATTATTTTTTTTTTCCTTTTGCATGAATATAGCTACCAGTCTCCAGCTGGAGGACTCTGGATGATAAAAACACTGGTGCTTGTCATTCTTCTTGTAGCTGATCAAGCATATGAAATATTGTCAAAACAGACAGTTTATTACTTGCCACACTTCCATTGAGCAAGGCCCTGCAATTTATCACAAATCGAAAGCAACAAGCCCGAAGTACCCCAAGGAATGCTCACCAAAATGCACTTAGCAGTCAACTGAAAGAACCTCACCTTTCCGCCGGACTGTCAGACTCAATATAGGAAATGAGAGGTGGAGAAGACAAGGTCTCAGTAGCAAACACGCTACCCTGGAGCTGTATCCCAAACCCTACTATGGGGTCAGCTGTCAGCACTACTTCTGTGGTTTCTGTGTGGACGACCTGCCCAGCCAAACCAACAGTGCTAGAGGCTAAGGACACTATAAAACAGAGCAGACCAGGAGGAAAGACATTCACACACAGCAGAAATTTCATTGCTGTTTGAGACAATTCATCTGTACAATAAACCTAGTCAACAAAACATCTCTTTTAAAGTCAATTTAGGCTAGAGTTTATAAATTATGTATAAACAGTTATGACATATAAGAGAATAGAAAACATCTGGTTGTATGTTAGAATGCAAAAAGATCGTTCTTGTACTGAGTAAAATAAATGTGTTTGACACCCCCACCCCAAAAATCTCAGAACATCCTTGAATTCTGTTTGCTTTAGGTTTGAGGCGTGGATGAGCAGAATTTTCCCAGGAGCCAAGGGAATTGGAGGCGCAAGCCCAGCTGTTATTCAGGCTGATTCCCACGAGCTCTTTTGAACATCTCACAGCAATGCATTGCTGTCAGCAACAAAGCACATGGCCAGGCTTGCTTGCAAGAAGTAAGGATGTCTTCCTCTTGTACATGTTTACTACACGTCAGCCATTTGTCAGGCTAACTGGGTAGTGTAAGTTGAACAAACCCCTCTGTTTTAGCAACCAGTATATCTCAAGAGACTGTGAGAAAAAAGTTCTTTGGGGTCTCTCAAAAGAACTGGGGGACCCTTCTGTGAGAAACACGGGCAGCTACTTCTGTACTCCTGATTTACTTCCTCTCTCTGTTCTCACTCTTGTTCTAGATAGGCTGCTTTACAGAACAAATCAAGATAAAAACAACATTGAGATTCAATGCAATTACCTATGAAAGGAGGAGACTGCACCTTTGATTCTTTGATCTCTGCCCAAATGTCTATCGTATCATTGTTTGAATTCCCCCAGTGACAAACTACTGCCTTTCATTATGTCATACAAAGAAAGCTAGAGTTTTTCAATTCCCGTTCAGACCAGTAACGATAATCCTCCAGTGCTGTGGATTCTGAATGTTTTCATGTTATAAATCTATGCCATTACCTCTCCACCTCTAATTTCCTTCAAGACCCATTTCTGCCTGCAGTAGCTACTAAGAATTAGATAAAAGTTCATGGTTTATCTGAGGGCTGTTTAACTGTGGATTTTTTCCCCCCCTTAGAGTTGGGAAAAAATTAGTTCTTGTTTTTACATTATAGATAATATTAGCACAGCTGTACAAACATGTCAGAGGTTGTATAAGTATTTCCCACACTTCGGAGCTACAACCACTAGACTTTTGCTCTGAAATAGTTAGTATAAAATCTGATTAATGTGGCACAGTTGCCAATGACAGTTCTGTTGCAAAAGTTTCACTTGCCAAAACCAGCATGAGTTTCTGTTTTCACCCAGCAAAGCTCCTTTCAACTCTGAAACTGTCTTTTCTAAATTACTGTGAATTCTCACTCATATCTTGTTTTAATTTTCCTTTGTGAGAACTGTGTATTATTTCAGTTACTCAATAGCTTCCTTCTTACTGTTTCTTTTATCTGCACTCAGTAAGACATGCTCATACCCAAATGCAAATACCAGTAATCTGTTCTTAGAAATGGCCACGAGCTTTAGGATTTACTGCATGTGAAAAATACGTTTCTCCAGCCCTCAGCGCTGCAAAGGCTAAAATATGACTAAACCAGATAAATTCAGAGTTAATATAATACCAGATCCCCTAACGCTCCCTCTAGAAATGTCTAAATTTAGGGCATCCAAGCTCAGAAAAGTTCAATTTTCCTTTTCTTTAAGGTCACACAACAGTTACTTGTTAGCTGCGTCTTTGTTTCCCATCACTTATGTGTCCATTCCCCCTGTGCAGCAGGCATCTAGCTGACTTTGTAACTTTCTTACTCTTTTTCTAATGCCCTACCAGGAACCTAAAGGTCTCATAACATTTATTTCAACTTTTAGGACAGCTAAGGTTTTAATTCACATTGGGAAATTAAGTTACTATTTGTGGGATTTAAAACTCACCCCGATAAATATCTTGATGATGTGGACACTTAGAAGTGACAATTAGGAAGTCCTCCCACTCCCAAAGAAAACAAAACAGGAACAAAAAAAGCAGAGATGAAAATACCCTTTCCAAATCATGTAACAATAGCTACCTGCTAAGCCTCTATAAAATGCCACAGGTACCCAAACCCATGACTTAGAGCATGTTGGGGTTTGTAACTCAACAACAATTGCAGCAAGAAGCACTGTCATTTTTTTTGCTGCTTGATGGATTAGAAGTTTTACAGGCCAGGAAGCAGCCTTATTGATTTAACATGGGGGTATGGATGTATACGTAGTTTGAGCGAACCTTGGTTGCTACTGCTAGGGGTACATTTTCGCATGATTGTATAGTTTTCATCCAACTCTTAGCAACACTCCTGAGGGCTGGTTTACTATATGCTCTGCAGTTATGTAAATAATAATCTTGAGTTTGAACATTATGTACTTGTTACTTTTATTTCTGGAGCCATATGAGAAGCAGAGCAAGATGTATTTAAAGGTACGTATATGGATTATTACGCCTGCAGTCTCCTGCTCTGACGCTTGAGAAACTGCAAAACATTCACTATTCCTCCTGGTAACAGCTAACTTGGATGTACTAAGAAAACAGCACCCATGCACATCTAAGACCCTCTCTAATTTCTACCAGATATGCAGCCCTAATAACTATCATATAAGTTGATACAAAATTGTATCTCACTTTCAATTATTAACATGGACCTATTACAAAATACATCAGGGTTTAAACTTTAACCAAATAATAATCTAAGTGTTTCCACAATGAATACCATCCTTTAAAACCAAAAAAAGTGGAAGAAGAATAAAAATTGAAACCAAGTGGCATACATAAAGCATGTGACAGCAGGGCATGCCTTCAATTTTTACAGCCACATGTTTGGGAAGATTTGTGTAACTAATGCAATGATTGTAAAATCACGGCCATGAAAGTCTTGTAACCCCCTGTACCATTGCACTTCACGATCATGAATTTTAGCACAATCACATCGTTAGGCACATTTTCCTAAATAATTGGCAATGTAAACTTTATAGCAACCTTCACCAGTACATCTTTTTCTTCCCAAATGACATCCTAAGAGATTTATTAAAAGTTACATTAATAAACCCCACAAATGATCCAATTGGATTAAAGAAAAAAAAAATCCCACTAAAATTAAGAGAGTGTGCTATTCCTTTTCTGTGAAAAGGACAGCAGTTGATGCTACCTGGTTCTCATGAGTCTCCCACAAAGGGAGAGAAGCAAGGTTTTCCAAGTCCTGTTGATGGACGGTAGAAGGGTACAGGACCAGTCATTCTCTACCATGGTCACTTGTAGCACATTCAGTCCAGTGCGGGTCTCTTAAGTTGGCTGTTACTGCAGTCACAAGTATGGGTATAAGTCTAGCAACAGGAGTAAGGAACTCTGCACGGGCTGAAAAGCAAGCTCACGGAAAGGGCAAGCAAGCCGGCTGGCCAGCCAATTCCTCCAAAGCCAGCTCTGAGGCAGGGTTGCTGATGCAGTCACTGCTCGCGGTGAGGCGCAGACTCAGTGCTGGGGCCACTGCCACATATTTTGTAATGCTCTACATCCAGACCTCACAATGCAAATGCATAATAAACTACCCCACAATAAAGCCTCATCCTAATTCCTCCTAGTTAGAGATTTGTTTAATCACAGCAGCCTGTCATCCCCAGGGCCTTCTGACTTGAGAAATCTTTCAGGTGGGCTGCAGTGCTTTGACTGTCCCACTTAAATCTCATGTCAGTGGCCTTGTTTTGAGCCTTTGCAGGATAGCAAATTGCAGGGCAAGGCCTTCTGGGAGGAAAAATATCTGCAAAATATAATAACACAAGTAACAGCTGTCTCCAAGATCCATAATAGGATTAGCTTTCAGGATTAACAGTCCTTTGCTGGATGGAACGGCTATAATATAGCACAATCGAAGAACTATTTTTTGCATCCAGCATTATTTTACTATTTAAATCAATTACTATTAGTGTAACATTACTATTGTTTCTCATGTGCACGTGAGGACACGTAAGAGCTGGACCCCTACTGATACCATAGCACGGATGGACACACTATCTCCCCATGACCCAAAAGAATGCATTAGAAGCTAACATGTCAACAGATGAGTTGTGAAAAATGGCTGATCACATTAAAAATAAAAAATGCACTTACAGGCAAACTTTATGTAAAAATATTATGAAAGAACTAAGAACAAGCAAACAACAAAAAAACTGCAAGAAAGCAAAACCTCAGTTCCTCTCTCAATCATTTCCTCAACTCCATAGTGACTGGCCTTAGCTGGAGGCTGCTGGTTTGCTCTGATTTTGTTATGGCCATGGGAAATCTTTAATACAGGGCAGCAACACTGTAATGCGCAGCAGCTCAGTTTTTCCAGAGCGGGCCTGTGAGCATTATTAGCCGGAGCAGATGATTTACAGAGCAGTTCTCACTTCCCTGCTCTGGAGGAACTGAGCTGCTGAGGATCACACAAAGACGGACAAGCCAAAAGGAGAAGTGGCACTTACATGGAGTCTGTATACAGCCATACTCTCTCCGGCCCAGTGAATACTTAGCAATATGCAAAGTAGAACGGCCTGAAATATATCCACTTTGGCTTGGGAAACTACTAACTCGTGGGAAATCCATGCTTTGAATCCCAGAGAGTGGTCAGAAACAAGGCTGTTTAGACTTCACTGTTATTTGTTGCTCTTCCTCACAAAACCAACTGTACAGGTTATGGTGTAGATGTAAAGATTAAAACTACCTAGAGGTTACTGTGGCAAGCTCTTCTTCCGTAATGTGATCAGTTGGTTGAGCTTACCAGCAGTCTGTTTTTGACTATTCAGCTATGAATTCTATTTCCTGATGGAAACGGGAACAGTTGAAAAAGAAATTTGAAAATCACTTCAGTAACAGTATGACAAACTCTTCCAGAATTGTCTGAAGAAAACATTGCTTTCTGTACTGCAGATGAGATAGTTAAGCTGCATGGCCTCTACTCATCTCATTTCAGCACTGGACAAATATTTTTATGCTGATGTTTCCCTACATCTAACAGAAACTCCAATTGTTCTCTCTTCTGTCTAATATATATATATTAAATAAGGTACTTTGTACCTTTTTTCTGTATCTTCCCCCTCCTCCACCCATTCACTGCACATTTTGAGCAAATGCTGTTACCACCTACAGGAGCTTTTGAAGTCCTTCTTTTTCATCCTCCGCCTCATCATTGTCCCACGCGGGCTGGTGGAGTAGAGGCTGCGAGGTAAGGTCCCCATGTTCAGGGAACTCAGGCTGTATGCACTCATGGAGGTAGGAGAGAAGGATGAAGACACCAAAGCTGCTGTAAGAAATCAAACACTTGGCATACAGCACTCAGTCTTCACGGAAGAGTGCGGCACATGCCTGTAACTCATCAATGAATCAAACAATGTGTATGATGCACAGGAATGGTTTGTGCATTTCCAATAACAAAGACATTAAACCACACAGGTGACCCTAGGTAGAAGTATAGCCAGCATTTCATGAAAATACCTGCTGGAAGCTAACAAAGATACTGTAGATAGAAAAAGTACATTCATAGTATACAACTTATTTTAGGCGAAGCATGTTAAATTAAAGTTTTCAACATATATCCATGAACCAATGCAGATCAATATGTCTAGATACACTGATCTTAGAAATGCCTTTTTGTAGCAGGTAATTTCTGACAAAAGATTTGTAAGCAATGCTTTGCATTCAAAAATGATGCTTTATATACACTACTCAAATCTAATGGTTTACTCATACAGCAGAAGAGCTGATTCATTCAGAATTTTCAAGCCTTTTCCTGTCTACAAAGGTTGCCTTGTTACAGAAAGGAAAGGTGTAAAATGTCAGAAATAACCTTGGTATGGCTATGAAAAAGTGTAGCATCCATAAAACTGAAAAGGTTTTAGTGCCTGAAATGGGAAAAGTATGAGTGAAAGAAGAGGGGAGGAAAGAGGAAGAAGAAGAAAGAGAAGGAGAGAAAATGTCAGCAGGAAAAAGCGTGAAACATTACGAAGGCTTTTTTGAGGAGGCGCTTTCTGGATTTTCAAGGCTGGCATCCTGCAATGGTCAGGGTGGTAGGTGTTATAATGGTGGTAGGTGAGGAGGCTGCTGTGGCTGTTGGCACACGAGTCCCAGGTAAGTTGCCTGTTGCTTCTTTGAACCTTCACTGCCCGCATGAAGGGATGATGGAAAATTAGAAAACAAAAGGACCAGAGAAGAGGGAGAAGTAACTGAATTGCACAAACAAACAAAAAAAGAAGTAAAAAAATGAAAATAAATTGAAAATAAAATAAAATGAAACAATAAATGCCCTGGTCTTGTCTTCTTACCGGGGGTACTAACTTGAAGAACAGAAATAGTATTTTTTCCCCAGAATAAATGCTTCTGATTTTTTTTTGTTGTCTTGTATTTGTTTTTAAAAAGATTAGTACTGAATCAATTTCCATTCTCATTCTGGATTTAGGAGCTAAGGTTGCAAACTTCCTTAGAAAATACTAAGGTATTACGTATGACCACTAACTGATCGTTACTAAGTCTCTGCTTGTATTCATCTACATTAAAAAGACCAACCAAATACTATACATAGCACTACCTAGAATGGAGATGTTTACTTGCCAGTCATTTCAATTTACTGCATTGACATTTTAATTTTGCCACCATCTATTGTTGGGATTATGCTGTTCTGTGCAGTAAATGATCTCCCTAGGCCAGCAGCAGAAAAACTCTATCCTGAAGCCTGCTTAATAAGGAAAAGAGTTCTTATTGATTAGTTGGATGTGAAATTTAATGTTTTTTTTAAACTTGATCTTCAAAACTTTAAAATGATCCTTTTCTGGATGAAATTTGAGACCATATTTGATCGCTGATTCTACATATGGGGAGTCTGGGATATGCCAAAAGTGAAGGCCAGTATTTACCAAGAGAACAGGAAGGGTTTCAGTTGATGTGTCAAATATTAGAGGAAAATGATTGAGTTCACCCTTCATTAAATACAGTCTGTTCATCACTAAATTCAGCGTAGCCGTGTCCTTGCTGAATCGTAGAGGAACACTTCAAGCTGGGAACTAGTCACTGAATTTTTGTCTTAAAACCACCGAGGGATTCACCCATACTATGAAACACAAGTTACAGTCTTTGGCCCATCAGCTGTATTACCTGTGTCTCTCTGCTACCTGCTATATCTCTAATGGCTGCAGACAGGTATGACCCCGTGCTGGACTTCACCAGTAGCCAAATATCTTGACTGTTTAGGCTGGACCCATACCTTGCATTCACATCTTACTCTGTGAGACAAAATAAGGGGGAAACGGGTAGCCACCGCCACAAGCACTGCGCAGTGCCAGAAGAAAAACTATCCTTCTGTTTCACTTCATACTGCATGGGTAATGATCTGCTAATGGAATATATTAACCCTCCTCTGACTCCAAAGTAATGCCTGCCCCTCAGCGAGGAGCACACACCAGGGAAGGGAGAGGAAAAGGCGAGTATGGGGGCCCGCCATGGCCCCCGGCCCTGTGGGGTGGTCAGGCCTCTGGAGGCCCTGGTGCTGCCAGGCCTGGCCCTGTGCCCTGGGCCTGTGTCCCTCCCTGAGAGCACCCCTGCTGAATCAAAAGAATTTTTTTTTTTTTTTCCTCCCCCGAACAGATACCAAAGGCGAGGGTGAGGTGCGAAGCCAGCACCAGGACTCGGGTTTCCTCACCCCCTGGCACCGGTGCCAGCGACCTCAGAGAGTTTGGAAAATCTCATGTCAGCCAGGAAAGTCCCAGAAAGAGCAGCAGTAGCCCGATACGGCCATATGTATCTTACAGACTTATCATATCTTCTCAGATGAAACTGTCTCTTTGATTACGCACACAGACAGCAAGATTTCTGAACTTTAACTATGGTGTAAAAATTAAAATCTGATAAGTACAATGTGGCCAGGTGGATTTTCATTATTTTCAAGTTGCTGTGAGCCTTGTTTAATTAAAAAGACTGCTTCCAGCAGGAAATTATCTGGTAGTCTTTGATTATTTTTTTTTTAATGTTTTATTTTCACACTGAGAGTAGAGATAAAAATGTCCTACAAAGTGGGAAGGTACACAAATTCAGTTTGCTCAGCTTGTAGAAGGATAATCCCAATTCAACAAAAGTTCTGTAAAAGAAAATCCTATTGTGTGTAACCTTAGTAATTTAGTGGTAATTTGAGCTATTCCAACTCAGGGCTGTGTACAGCGAACATAAAACTAATGGGGCAGCAAGAGAAATGAATGTTAGCAGCAAAGTATAAAGAAAAAAAAAAAAAGAAAAAAAATCTGATCTTTTATAGTACTCTGCATTTTATTTTAGGGCTAAAATTTCAATTTGTTTTATATACTGACTTCCTGCCCATTTTAGATTCCTAACATGTTCCCATAAGACCAATAACTGAGCTCAACAGATACAGCCCTAATGACTCTGCTTATCCCAGATGCATAAAGGGAGCTTTTCAAACTCTACAGCATCTAGGCCATACCGCACCTGATGAAAGGTTGTTTCCAAGAGGGTACTTGCTTCCATAAAACACGTTACATCTTGAATTGGTCATGATATTGGAGTAGCACCATCTGGTGAGGGGCTGGGAAGGGCTGTAAACATCCTAGTTATTCTGCCTTACTTAAGAAAGCAACTTTATTACCTTAGGGACATTTCTCCCCAAAAGATGCTCTTATGTAGCTTTTGCAGATCCCCTTGATAGGATTTCGTAACGGCCAGTTCTTAACTCTGGCATGGCAAGAGCATTGCTTTTTCTAAGCATCTACACTGGGTCAAGGTGACTAGCACATTAACAGCATTAATTTGTTTTAAATGTTGGTTAAGAAACTGACTGCTTCAAGTAATACAATCATCTACACAAATCTTTGGACCTGGTACTCATCTTCCCAAAAGAAACACTCTTCAAAGGTTCTTTAACCAGCCAGAAACTGATTGTGTGACATCTTTGCTTCAAACACATGAAATATCTGTTTGCAATGTACTGTCATAACTGAAAAGAATGGAAATATATTGCAAAATTTGGTCTTCATCTCATTCTGCTTTGCAGTATCACTCCCTGCTCCCTCACCCCTTTGGCTTAAGTAGAAAGGGGAAAGAGGTGCAGCTGAATAACAGAAGAACATGGTATTGCAAGGGTTACTTTTTGTTTACCCTGGTCTAGGAGAAACTAGTGTCTCCTCAGCCACTAGTTCAATATTCACCACTCTGACAAACTGACTAGAAGATCGCTTATCCAGGGACATCCTGGATCTCAGATGTCCAAGAACATTTACCATCACTGACATTTCTAGGCCTCAGAAATCTTGTCCTGGTCTAAAGGAGGCAGAAGCACAGTACCACAGGCTCAGAAAATAGTACCAGTGGTTCCTGCTGCAACACAGGTACCTATTCTCTGTGTATTTGATAACCCTTGTTACTTCTTTGATGTCCATCAACATGCGGTATTTTAGACTGAATTTATGAATGCTGTGAATTAGCCCCTTTCTCAGGACTAGTTAGAAGACAAGACAGGCAGACCCCATCTTCAAATACTAAGACATTTTAGATATATTTGATTTGAAAATGGAAAGCCATTCTCTTCAAGCATGTTGGTATGAAATAAATGTCATGGTGAAAAAGGGCTGGGATCTAGGGAACTGTTTCCCAACTAACCTTTTTCATAAGCACTGACAATGAACCCATGAAGCAATCTCAGAAGTACTTTAAAAAATGATGGCAATAAATAATAATGCCATTAATAGAGAAAATGTGTGGGGTTTTTTGACGTATTTTAGGGGAGAACAAGTGTTATTAATGAAGTGGTCATAACAGACTATCAAGTCAATATGCTGAAAAGAAGTTGGCTGTGGTCCTTCCTCCCCCCTCTAAATTTAAGAAGCAATTTAGAGATTCATTTACAGAAGTACCTAGTTGCCCCCCTATGACTGCAACAGTAGAGTCACCAGGTGTCTTTATGTACATCTACAAGTGTGCAGAGCTGTTTCTCTGTAAAACATTTCCCTCTCTAACCATAGGAATCTCAGAGGGTATGTTAAGGCCAAGAAAACACAGAGCTTCTCAGAAACTGCAGAAGCATAAGCTGGGGAGCTGAAACAACACTTACAGACGTAACTGCTGCAATAGCTTTCTTGGCCATTCAGCAAGGGCAGGCAAAGTAAAAGACAGAAAAATAAAGGGGTATTTGGTGTTACAGATCTCTTACCGTGCTCCGGGCCTTTCAGTGCTAGCCGTGTCTGGTGGTGAGGAAGGATCTCAAGTTTGACATTATCCGCTGCATTAGCCAAAAATTGCGTTGCTTCTGCAAGCGTACAGTACTCCATGCTGGTGCCGTCAATGGACAGAATATGGTCTCCTACATGTAATGCACCACATCTACATAAAAGGGGAAAAACTCGGTATGATCAGGTATGCTTTTTGCTCGGAAAATGAGTTTTACTGCCTTCAAACTGGTCATGACAACTATGAACGTGTTCTTTTTTTTCAAGAGAGATTTGTGTTTTGTAGGCATTGTCACTGGTCAGACTTTATATCTATCAGTACAAACCTTAAAAACAATTCAGTTAATACATTATATGCCAAGACATCACTCACAGAACTGGAATGGGGTAGCTGACTATAAAAATATGTGTGAATGGCAGCAGAATAAAATGAGAAGAGCTTAAGGAGACTCAAATAACTTGGTCACATATCCCTCACACAAGCACCCAGTTCATCATTTTTTGAGTTATATTTCAAACATTTATTAGTACAAAAGCTGTAAATGACGATGAAATTATGCAGTAGTCAAACAAATAATGAAACCAGGGCTAGCATGGTGACTTGAGGAGTGGGGTGGGGAGGGGGCTATTTGCTAAATCTCGCTGCACTCAAGAGACTGGCTACTGGATGAGTTGAGAAATGCAAACACAGCAGTCAGCATCCCGACGTACCAGTCAAGTGGACAGCTCCTTTAATTGGTTACCCCCTGCGAAATGGGAAAAAACAGAGGGAGAAAATTAAAGCATCCTGCACCATTGAACTGGAGAACACCCCTGGATCAATGGCCGTCACTCTCAAAGTTTCTACTGTAGGGAAAAGCCCACAGAGGAGCTGTAGACTCACTGCTACAAGTGGGTGCTACCAAAAGCACCATTGTCAAAGAGGAGTTACAAGGTAGGGTGACTGGGGACATGCAGGAGGAATTTGCTGCTGAAACGTAATATTCAAGTAATTTTTAGATAGAGATATGTATATAGAAATATACTGTATATGTATAAACACATACACACACACACGAGCAAGCACTCCAGAAAAGATACCACAGCTCTGTTACAGAGGTTTAGACCACTGGGGAAAAATATCTATCTTTTTTTTTTTTTAAATGGTTTAAATGGTTTTATTTAAGGGTTTAAATGAAGTGGAAAAATTACAGCAAAATAACTTCGAAATACAGAAGCCAGTCTTTCAATACCTCAGTCGTATTCTAAAATATCAATAAAAAAATCCAGACATAAGGAGTTCCATTTCACTGTGCCACAAGAATGAGTGCTATATTCTAAAAGAACACTTCAAGGTTGCAAAGCCTCAAAATTTACTTCCCTTGACATCTGTTCCATATTGTGGGCTTACTTTAAGAATTCCAGTGGGTTATTTATTTTTTAAAATACTAATCTCTGCCACAGCATTGCATTTAATCGTCAGAGCAGACCTCTAAATTCCTGTGTTGCATAGTGCAAGCAGTCAGTCACATATTACATGGGGGCTGGCTTGAATACTACACGAATGAGCTAAAGTAAATGGTGTCCTGGAAGCCTTAAACTTGGCAGTATGGAACAATGATCTGACAAAGTGCTAATTTTAAGATCTGCAACCTCGAGAGCATCTGGTTCAGTCAATTTTGTCAAAAAAGAGGAGGACCTTCTTTACAACCAAACCAAGCGGAAGTAGAAAGAAAATGGATATATGGACCTGCAGTGTCAGCCCTCTGTCACACTCACCTGTCTGCAATACTCGCAGATTTGATTTTGTCTATGACAATGACCTGTTTGTTGCAGCACATCGAGGTAGTTAGTGCAACCCCAAGAGCAGCACCAGGAGTTTTGGCAACTTCAACTAGCAGCGGCCCAGACGCTGTTGCTACGGAATCTGTTAAAATTAGACAACAAAAGATCAGTATTTTACCAACGGGGTACTTATGCCATTTTCATATTTTCCCATGTAAAATCTCCATGGCTATTCTATTTCTGTAACCAGACAACATGCTACTTAAAAAAATTCTGGAATAGCATCAGTTTAGGTGTCAAGAATCAGCTCTTAACATCAAAATTGATAAAAGCAAGAGGAAGTTTGTGAATCTGGGATGTCTGGAAGCTTCTGAGTGTGTCAGAATCAGAGATGGACCAGGTTAGGGAACCGGGATGTGTTAGCAAATCACTCTGTTGAACAACTGAAGCTAAAAATTACCCGGAATTTAAAAGAGGCAGGCTGAAGAAACAGAATTAATTAAAAAAGCAGAAAATGATCTGAAAAAGATGAATGGGTTAGAGAAGGATGCTAAATTAATTTTCAGAAAAGAAAGGGAAGATCTGTGGACAACAGCTATAATAATCAAATGAAGGTGGCGAAGCAAGGGTCTACCAGAAATCCCTCACTAAAAGAAAGGAGAATTTAGAAGAAAATGGTGAAAGTGCAAGAAGCATGACAGCTAGAAATAGTGGGAGTTAAAGCTAAATGCATGTGAGGAGGTTCAGAAGATTCTTGTAATATCCTGTCAGTGGATAAAGTACTGCCTTGCAACAGGGCACAGATAGTAAATGACCAACACTGAAAAACGAAAGCAGAAAAATAGGAGGCAGCAACAGTCATGATTGACGACTGTGGTGAGGAACTATGCCCAAGAGAGACAAGTGCTAGACAGAATAAAGAAAAAAGACAGCAGGCTGCTTCCTAAATGCCAAAACAAAGCAGGCAGCGATAAGGGTGAAGTACATTCTGGAGACTGCCTGAGAACTCCTACTAACCGATACCCATCAATCAACAACTGATCTCAGTGGAGTAAGACACAGTAAGTGAAGGTGTCCTTTAAGGACATAAAAAGACTGAGAAAAAGCAAATGGTATCAGAAGCCTTTGGAGGTGCTTACAATCAGAACAAGGAAAAAATGAATAAACAAAGACTTACGCTGGAGCAAAGTTACCAAATGTCCTGCTGGCAACTGGGAGAGATTCATATTCACAGAGTACTGGAGCTTGCTGTAAGAATACTAAGAAAACTTTCAACTGTGATGTCTCCCAGAAGTCCCTGAGATTGACGCTGCAAAAGAACTGCAGCTGGGCTTCAAAGTATGGAGAAGACAGATATAAGATATTCCATTCAGTCTTAAATTTAGAAAATCAGTCCAGAAATGTAATTCTGACACGGAAGAGAAAGACACAGAAGAGAAAAACTGTATGGTGATACAAGAAATTGAATGAGAACTTGATTAACTAACACTCAGCTAAGGTGCTTTTCCTAGTTAGAGAGTAACGTAGGTAAACTGGATATAGAAATGGAGTGAAAAAAGGTGCTTGGATGGAATAACATACAATACCAGTAAAGCATCAGTTAATTACTATAGAACTCCTTTCCCCCCGCACAGCATGAAATCACTTTTATATTTCTGTTATCTTTTTTCCAGTTAGAAACCTGAGGGTTTGAAAGGGAGAGAGTATTTTTGAAAGTGCCCATTAAATCTGAGTGACTCATTTTTGTGCCCAACTGGGACTGACTTTTTAAAGGCTTAACTTCCACAGGCACTACCAACAAGCTGTTCCACAAATCTGAACCAAACTTTAAATTGTGATCCAAAAGAAGAGAGTCCACCCAGTAGCATTTCTGCCTGGAGCATCAGGCACTAAATAGCTTTAAAGCTGGATGAACTGCCCTCAGCAGCTGCCCATCCTTCTTTAGTAACAAAAGGAGGAGGTTATCACACTGAAACTCCTGTCTTCAATGCCTTGGTTAAGGGTCTAAGTAAGGCAGGATGCATGCAGTGACTTGCATACAGCCAAATAAGCAGAGCAGAATTTAAGAATTCCAACTCCCATTCCTGTGCTGAGAAACGATTATTTTCTTCTTGAATATTCCAGTGGTTTCTGGAGCTACAAACAAGCTCGCATTTACAAGCATATGGGAAGAAGACTCAAACAACGTTCGTCATCAGTACCGTGACAAAGGTTTGAACTCACATTGATCCAGAAAATGGCAAAGCTCAACTTGTTATTGGCCTATCTCAAGTTCTTTCTGTAACGATTGCCTTGAGGAACGGAGAGGAAACTAAATGCAAATATCTGTTGAGAATGAGTAAATCTTTCAAGATGCTGCTCCAGAGTTACTTGAGAAATGCAAGCTTATGCCCTACTGTTATTTCCCAGGTGCCTGTTGAAATGCACAAGGAAGGCAAACCAAGGCAGATAGGATGAATAAATAAGATAACCACATTAGAGGAACCAGAAGAGAAGAAATGGAGTGTGTCTAACTGTGGAAAATAAACACAAGGAAGAGAAATCAGAAGGCAATAATCAAGCACACATTCCCTGACAGAGAAGGATTAGTTTATCATGTTGAAGTAAAGCATGGGTATGAAAAATGAATCATACAGGTATAAATTATTCATGTGTGAAGATGTTTCAGTCATTAAGATATTTACACTGTGACTGAAGCACTTACACACTATGTTGATTTATTGGCTATGTAATTACATAAGATATACTGATGAACGTTTGCGTGAAAAACGCTCCAGATTTTTGATTTTGTTAATCATTTTTCTCACTTTTGAGCACTGCATCTCAATCAGTACCAGAGGCTTGATTAAAACCTCCCAGAGGAAGCAGCATTGCTTTCCGCATGCTAATACGTTTCTTCAGCTAGATAGCAGCATACCTTTTTTATTTGACAGCTTAAATCACTGGCAACAAGGTTTTTATTCTGAATATACTTTTATGATGTGTAAATATACTACATGATATATAAAAAGTTTTGGATAAAATAAGCAGTGTCACCACCCTCCCTCACCTCGAGAGGTAATCACAAATGATTTTTAAATTTGAAAAAATCTATTTTTTTATCCTGATTTCTAAAGGAAATAAAGCCTAAGTGATCACATTACATGCATTCATGTACACACTTGTAAACGTATGTACCTGTTAATCGTTGCCTATCCTCATGGCTTGTCAAATCCAGTTCAACAACTGATGGGTGGTAGAGGACAGAAAACCTCTTCAGGATTCCCACAGTAGGGCAAGCAAAAAAGTGAGCTGCTTGTGTTAGGCAGCAGAGAATCTACATGTGAAACAGTACTTATAAATGCCCTAAAATGGGAAAAGCTTCAGTCATAGCTTGCAATCAATATTGACACTAAATCCATAGGAAACCAAACTTTCTTAGCCTATGATGCTTTTTTTCTCCTTTTTTTTTTCTTCCCAAAGCCTTCTTGTACTTCAAGCTGGGAAGTGCTGCTATACTGTGAGCACGTTCCTGTAGGAACATCGAGCTCTGTTGCTACTATCTGTGCTCTGCAGCTTCTCACTTCTCTAACTGGAAGGTTTTGGGTGCTTTCTTTTTTTTTTTTTTTTTTTTTTTTTCAGAAGTCATGGCAACACAAGGCACAAATAATTTTTTGAGCAGCTTGGAAAAGACAGACAAGGAAGAAGGATGTCAAAACAGATTTTGACCTTAAAAAGCCAGCTGAACCAGTTGAAAGAGACAGCTCCACAGGACTGCTATTGATCTTGCCTGGATGCTGCTGTATCTTCTAGCAATAATGTAAGTGACAAACAAGTGGATACCTTACTGTCTCACACTAATTTTTCTCTCACTGAGCTTTTTCCCCATTAGATGTCCACAGGCTAACAATTTTTTCACCTTAAAATAGTATGTAACAGGTTCGTGTAGCCTTCTCTGTTGTTGTGATTCTCTGACAGTAAAAAAATAAATAATACAGCAAGTGTGTGCTGGTTCAGATCAGTAAGCAAATGCATAGTTCCTCAAAATTGCAGGTCTCCCAAAGCAAAGTTTTAATGCTTTTGTAGCGATGCATTCACAGATCTAAATATGTCTTACTCCTGTCAAACTAGAAGCCAGTATTTCACAGAAATATTTTTTCTTGGCCAAACAAATGTGCTTTTCTGCTCCTCACATCTTTCTTTGTTCCCTTCATACAAAATCTTTGCAGTCTAGAGATAGCAAGTAGATCAATACCTCTCTCAGGTAGGAGCTTTCTTTTATCCATTTGGTTCTTGTTCTCTTTTTCTGTAATCCTAATTTTTATACCCAGTACCTGTGTGCCTCATGCTCAGACTTAGTCAAGAAAGCATATTGTTAATTAGAACAAAGGGACACCCAGATTATATTTTCAGAGCAGCAAACCTCATTCAGCTCAGGTCATATGATACCTGGACATCTTTCTATAATCCTCCGAAAAGGAAAAACATCTTCTATACCTAAACTGCAGTTTCCAGTACCAACATCCAAAAACTGGACCATAGCTGGGTGGATCACAGAGATGTATTTTAGTGAAGTTAAGGAAGATTGTTGGGGAAATGGAAAAAATCTGAAATCTCTGACAAAACATTGGAAAATTTACAGCAAATCAGCTTGGAGAAATCAATTTGAATCTCCCCACGACTCCCAAATGCCCTACACTTTACACTTGCTTTCCTCTGCTCTCTCCATGCTCTTTTTTTAATTCACAAAGATCAGTGATTCTTTTCCAGCACACATTCAGCAATCATACATGCCACAGCTCTGATGTATATGGGATAGTCATTGATTGCTCCCCAAGGAATCTGTTGAGTAAACTCTCATGTAAGGACCCTCACAAGTCCTTATACGCAGAAACGCACGGCCATTTCCTTGAACTTGCTTTCTTTAACAAAATTACAACAGAATGTAGGGGAGGTCTGTGTTTTTATGTATGTGACCCAGCACGAGTTACAGAAAGGGTCCAGTGCAAAACACACTATTGCAGCCACTTCTTACTCTAGAAAGGTTGAAGACAACTGACACACCACTTTCAGCACTCAGTGCACAAGTGGAAGGTACTCTGAAACTGCAGTGGTGAGCCTAGTGTGTAAGGCACAGAACGGTATGACAGCAGTCCCAGCTCC